TTTTTGTTTCCTGTTTTTTGTTTCTCATTTTTTTTAGAAATAAATATGTTTGATAATCAATCACATTTATCATTTCTAAATTTTGAGAAATGTTTCGAAGAAAGGGACCAATTTTTGGAAACTAGAAAAAATAGTTGTGTTTTCTTTTTTTATTATATTTTTTAATTTTTTGTTTCTTTGTTTTTGTGTCCCGGCTCTGTTTTAGATTAAATAATACACCTTGTCCTTGTGTTTAGTTGTGAATTATTAAACAATGGTCCGATGGTGCATGAGAGTACCTCCAACAAATCCAAGGTTTAATCCCCATGGAACACAATTTTTATTGTATTTATCTATTTTTCTTTACTAAAAAAGAGAAATAGAATCAAAAAATTGAGAACGTTACTAAATGAGCCATTAACGTTTCTGTTTCATTCTTTTTAATAAATGAAATTAAAATTGCCTAACCTCAATACCTATAGATTCAAAAATGATAAAACAATATTTTTCTTTAAGTTTTAGAACAAATTAAAAATATAAACAAGAAACAAGAAACTTATTTTTATTGTTCTAAAAATTCTACACAATTTTGAGAATGCTTCTAAAAGAAAAGAGTAACAATAAACATAAATAGTTATTAAATGTCTAGATTTCTCAATAAAATTGGAAACGAGAAACATGAAACGGAAACATTATCAAACGGGTCTTTAGTTACTAATTCAAGTAGAAAGATGCCAATGTATAGTTACATAATTAAGGGGAGATATCAAATCAAGACATCCCTATGAAAGACACCCTTTCTTGTTTCTAGCAATTATGTATCAGTTACAATATTATCTTTAGTATTGGGAAGGCTTAGGGGTAGTATTTTCACCACTATTCCGAGGATATGTTGAAACATCTACGAGATATCGACATATCGTCGATATAACGAGAAGAACGGTTTTTATGTTGCTCGAAATTTAACACCCTAGCATGCCATGTGAGGAATCTGCCCAAATCTGGTTATTACCTTGCCAGCTTACTCTACTTTATCTCACCTTTTTTGAAGGAAAAAAAAAAAAAACAAAATGCTCAATATAAGTTAGGTCACTGCAGAAAGTGGATTCATCAATTACTCAAATTACTCAACTAACATTTAGGTGGCCTAATTTTTTAAAACTGTCACTTTATTTTTCTTTCTATTTTTATCATTGAAATAAAATTTCTTACAACTTCACAACTTTTACTTATACTACGATTTTTTCAATCCAACCAAATACGTTCTTTTTATGATATTAAAAAATATTTATTTTTATTATGGAACTATCTATGATTTTTGTTATAATTAACAAGAGGTGTATATATATATGCGCATCATACCTCTAGGAAAAGCTCGAATGACCTTCAAAAGAGGTATCTGTATTCGAAACAGACGCATGTAGAGAATACCTAAGGACACGAGACAACTCTCTCTAAGGAACTCAACAAAATAGTCGCGTAACTTCGAGAGCCTCCTCACAAAGGGGGTAATAAGTTAAAAAAAACTTCTCATATTAAATTTTATGATTTAAATTAAATTGATATATCATTTAGTAGTTATTGGTAAATTATATGTAGGGCACCTGCCTTGTAAATTTAAAATTTTATAAAAAAAAAATTATACAAAAATATTTTTAATAAAATTGTAGTTTTATTATAATATAGATAAAATATTAAGATAAATGGTATTGACTATGAGAAAATGAAAAGTCATAGATTATAGAAGTTTATATTTTGACTGTGAAAGGTAGAAATAAAGTTTAAACACATAGTTGTTTTTGTTTTTTATTAAAAAAAATTTATCTTTTACAAATTTTAATGAGAGGCAAAGACAAAAAATAATCATCAATAATGTAGTAATACGCACTATTTTCAAAGGTTAAAATTATCCTATTCTACATCAAAACATTTTTCTAATAAAAAGTAACTTCATAAAAGTACTAAAAAAAAAAACAAGAAAAAAGAACTTCATAAATATATATGTATATATTAAAAGAACTTATCTTTAATCTTAAATGATTCAATTAAGCCAACCTATATTTTTTAAATTTTGCCTGTCAAATATATATATATATATATATTTTAATTTTTATATTTATACCACGATTTATCTTTTTTAATTAATCTCTAATAATTTAATAATTTTTATAACCATTCTTTCCATCTATAAAAATTTATACTCTATGAATATAAATTTTTTGAGAAAACTTCACACATAGCTATTTATAGTATGCCAAAAAAAAACCTAACTATAAGTATTTTTTCAAATATTAACCAAATAAAAATTAATAGTCAAAATGATCTCTCTCTTTTGCATGCTTCGACCACCATTTTTTGACTCTTGATGTTTATAATTCACCTTACAGTGGTGACAATTTTGAAAAAAAAAATATATTGAATTAATAAAATTGTAAACTATCATACTATTTTAGATGTAAAAAAAAAGAAAAGAAAAAAACACACACAAATACCTATTGTCTTATCCTCACTCAAAAAGTTCACTTTCAACGAAATTGTGGGTAAATTTCTTGGTTGAAATTACTTCATTGGACTTTTGAATTTAAGTATTTGATAATAAAGATAACTCAATATCTTTGGTTAACATTGAGGAATCTATGATCAACTAGTTTCAAATTTCGCCATTGATAATGAAATGGAACCATTGTTCTTCAAAGTATGCTTCAACCTTGTAATAGTTTTATTTTTCATCATTGCCTAAATTTGAGTTAATAAAAATATGTATTAGAAAACAACCAAATATAAACTAGAAATACATTAAAATAAAATGAATAATCCCAAAATAATTTTATGAATAAATAATAAATATCCATTGGAAAAAATATCTCTTCATCACTCAAAATCAAGTTCAACACTTGGGGTGGACCTCAATGGTTTGTATAAGTCTAATTTGTTCCTCTTTGAATTACCATGATTTTTACTCTCAATTCCTTTTCAAACAGCTCCAACTTCTTCAACATTAGACATATTTATATATAACTATTAAAAAGTCGAAAACAAAGAGGTGTGATTTTAATTGACAAGAAAAAAAAAACGATGAATGTGAGATATGCCTCAAACCGAAGACAATCCATATGTATATATAGTAAAAGGTGAGATAATGAAAAGCCTCTAACTTAAACGAAAGGTTTGTAATGAGGGTCTAAAAGAATTTATTTTATAAAATTGATTTAGTGATATTGATATTTGAAGTGGGGTTGCGTTAGGAAAGAAGTTAGAAATTTTTTTATTTTTTTCTATATAATACAATTTGTGCTATTACCATRAGTGTTCTTGTAATCAAGAAAATGAAAACCATTTAATTTATATGAAATGTTTATGATTTGATGTCAGATCGTATTTGTTCTTTTTCGGAAGAAAATGAAAAATCTTACGTGAGTTTTCTTTTCCTCTAAATTAATGAAGTATGAAGTTTGAGAAATTTCTTTTTAATGTCAAAATATTTTTGTTTTTGTTTTTAGAAAATGAAAAGTGTGTGGATTTTTTTCTTTAAATAACGTGGAGTTGGGTTATGGAAGAAGCGAGAAAGTTTTTTTTTTTAATTCTTTTATATATGTATAGTATAACTCGTGTTCCTTCTTAAGGGTTGTTTTAGTTGAGAAAATGAAAAATCATTTCATTTAAATAAAAAGTTTATGATTTAATGTCATGTAATTGTTTTTTTAAGAAAATGAAAAGTCTTACATGTAAATTATTTTTCTTTAAATGGATGAGGTATGAAGTTTGGGAAGTTTCTTTTTAATGTGAAAATATTTTTGTGTTCGAGAGAAAATGAAAAGCTTTTGTGTGAGTTTTTATAAATACCGAATGATGAGTTGAATACTGGAGTAGGGGTAAAATAGGTAATTATGTAAAACAAAATGAATGCAAATATAATATAATTTCAAATAGGCAAACCAATTAAACCAGTTAAATAAAAAGATTTAATGAAATCAACTCTCTGTCGGCAAAGGAGAGTAAAGTAAAGCGTATATATGGACTTTATTAAAAAGTAGGGGATAATTTTATCTAAATATTTCTTCCATGTGCGTACTTTTATATATAATATAATAATTATAGATATAGATTTACCCTTTATAATTATTCATAAATACAAGAATAAAAAGATTGATCGTGAAAATATCTGTGTGTGGATTTATTTTTGAATTAACGAAATGCTACAATAAGTTATAATTTTTTTTATATCCGTGTGTCCGGACCAGCTTGCGTGCACCTCGACTATTCATGGACCACCCATCTGATCCTACTATATTTGGTTGACAAGGAAACTCGTAGAATATTAAATCATAGGTAGGTTATAATCATATTTCCAATATTTCTATTGTTTATTGATATTTTTAATATTTAATTGTTAGTTAAATTTTTTAAAATATAGATATATGTATATATTATTAAACTCATATTGATTTCGGATTCTTCAATTTTATATGTGAAAATGTTTTACTCTATGCTTGGGCTAGATTTAATTAATTAATCAATACAGTATAAAAAATATTGCTTGCAAAAGTAGCAAAAAAAATTAACAAAAATTTGTAGAAGTAACCACCACTTTAAATTTTTCAAAAATATGCAGAATTTAAAAGATGAGGAAATCAAAAGTCCAAACATACCTGAATGAACACAGATCCTACAACCATATACTTGATTTGATATACCATCGATATATTTGATTTCATATCATATACTATTGATATATCATTGTTATACCAAAGTATGAGTGCGGCTATACCAATAATATATATATTTTTTCTCTTAGCTTCACTTTAATTATTGTATTCCATTTCTCTTATTAAATTTTGATATACCTTACATGATTTGATATACCCCTAGTATATATTGAAAACTGCTCGAGAGGGTAAGATTAAAATAGGTAAAAGAAGTAAAAAAAATTAGATTATTTTTAGCAACCCAAAAGCTGTAGCATTAAAGATTTCCTATATAAATGAAAATACCCCATGTGGTGGGTGAAACTTTGGTGTTCATTTATTTCAATATAGTAGTGTGGAATTTTGTTCTTCCTCTCATTCCAAAGCCCTTCAGAATTATTATGGGTCACACTTTGATTGTTTCTCTCCAGTTTCCAAACTTTATTTTCTCTCCCCATCTCAGAACACGTACACACACATCCAGATTCCATCACGAAAACAAGCAAACTTTCCTCTGCTTTGCCCTCAATGGGGATCAAAATCCTCCACTCTTCTCTCTCGAATTCTCCCGTCGTCATCCACTCTTCGAGTCTTCCAAGGTAACTACCAAACTATACATCGAATGATCTGTATCCAGTTAGTAGATTTTCGAATATGCATCAAAAAGTAGAGCTCGTGGATTTGATATATGTTGATGGCAGGCTTCGTTTGATGAATACATTGAAGATGAAGTTAGAGTACTCAGAGCAACGTTTGCGGGAAAAAGTGAACAACTAGCTGATGAGGTTGTTTTTAAATGCTTTTCCTTTAATGTCATAAAGTTATTAGGATATCAAATTGTGGTGTGATTAGCTTGTTTGTTCGAGGCATTCGATTTTAATTTCATCTCGATGTTATCCTGATTTATATACTGTGGATCTTTGTGGAATTGAGTTACTCGTTGGAGCGTTGAATTGAGTGTCGTTTTGAAGGATGAATGGAGAATTCACATGCCATCTTTCCAATTGCTATTCTTCAAGGTCAACCCTGTTGTTGACGTAAGATTCATTTGCAGAAGCTCCGCCAAAGATTACCCTATTCATATTCCTCCCCATATCTCCAAATTTCTTGAGCTTCAACTGGTAAACAATTTATTTTAATTTTGGTACTAATATTTAATACGGATCTTAATCTATTTGTTTAGGATTCGACCGATAACTCGATACACTCTACAAAATTTATATTCTAGCACATTATGAAAGTATAGGAGCTAAGTATTGGACTTTTGTGTAAATGTTAGGTATTAAGAAAAAAAAAGTAATAAAAACATTTGATTATAAAATAAGTATCAAACTTTTTTAACCACAACAAAATTTAAGCCCTCTAGACCAAAAATGTTTCTTACTTTCTATGAAAAAGTACAAAACAAAATTTTCATTTCATTATTGAACTTCCCAACAACCATAAAATTTATTTTAGCAATATTATTTACTCTTTGTAAAATGTGGGATATGAAAAATCTTTAACCAAACTTAAAAAATCAAAATTTACTTCAAATAAAATATACCTTATATTAGAACAATATTTAAAGGTGCTGATTGGTCGGCATCTAACTCCACATTCACCATCATTGAAAATTTGACAATTATCAATAATTAATGATCATCGGCACAAGATAAGTACTAACCCATGAACACTTGAGTATTTTCTTTACTTTTATTCTATAATATTTCTTACTTTCTAAACTTAAGTACAAAATTTTTTCATTTAATTAAACTTCCCAACAACCTTGAAATTTACTAGTCTTTTTATGACGTTGATGAAAAATCTTTAACCAAACTTCAAAATTCAAATTCTTGCTTCCGATAAACGACTCATGATCACCTACCTCTATGTTTACCTATCATTGAAACATTGACGGTTCATTGCTTTTGAAAAATTTTATCTGTTTTCACATTTCTCTTTCTTATTTATCAACAAGATAAGTACCGACCCGTATATAATTTGGCAGATGAGATGGGAGCTGAATGGATTGGGTGGGGATTTTAAATCCCAAAGCTTCAAAATTAGTGTAAAAGGAGCTTTGTATGCTGAGAGAAGAGAATCAAAAAGTAAGCTCAGATATTATTTAGTGCTCAATCTTCACAGCTTTGCTGCCCCCACACCCCTTGCCTTCATTCCACAAGATGTTTTTCTTGCCCTTGCACAAAAGGTACTCAACTATATATGCATTTTCCCTATTTGCCCCTACATTTTTTAAAATTACATCTATATCCCTCACTTTCTCTCCAATCACAATGGTGGTCCCGTCCGGGTTAGAGAGAAAAAGATAGAATGTTCGAAGAATATGGTAATTTTTAAATCTGTCTTTTGAAAAGGTAACTTTATCGTGTTTATAAATCATAAATCAAGATAACTTTTAAAAGAGTAGGGGTTAAATTGGAGGAAAAACGTCAAAATATTAGATATATTTAGTCTCTTTATTTAAGTGAAAGGTGAAAAAATAGGGTTTCATTCATATTATTTTTTAAGACAAAAAATAGGAAGCAAGAAATAAGAAGTCAAATGCTTTTTTATTTTTTTTTTCAAAACCTGTATACAGTTTTGAAAACATTTTCTTAAACAAAGAACAACTACTAACAAATATCTTTCTCATAAATGAGAAACGAAAAATAGAAAATGAAAAATACCGAAATTTACCACATGTCTGTTAATAATCCAAATGATAATTTACAGTATTATCTATTAGATTTCCTTTTTCTTTCTTTAGTTTTAAAAATTTAAGTGAACTCTTCTAATATATTTTAAACTGATGATTATTTTTTGTTACAGGGGTTGAAGGGAATGATGGAGGAAGCCATGGATGACTTTTCAGAAAAATTACTTTTGGATTACACCAAATTCAAGGAGAAGCTAAAAGAATGAGGTTCCAGCCAATTGTGGATAACTATGATTAGAGTTTTTATCTCAAACTCATCAACAAATTTACCAATTGTAAAACAATATCTGGTAAGTAAATGAAACAAGCTTTGATTTTGATTTATTTTATTTTTTTATTACAAAAACTTGGTTTAGCAACAATAATTTGATGGAAGATGAAAATGTGTGTAACTTTTTTTTAGAAGAACCACGGCAGTTGAAACATACTATTTTAGACTAAAGTAGATAAATTTAATGGAGGATGAATTGAATTCTAAACTGAGATTAAAATGCAGATCCCCTTTGACGACAAACTGTGGTTTTACTAGAATATATTATATAATTTAAATATCATTTCAATTAACTTAATCCTTAATCTTTGAAATTGTATTTAAAATTTCAAATAGGTTCGGTTATAATTATTAAAATTTGTTAACAAAAAGTTGATATGTCGTTGAATTATCAATTCAGTAACCTATTTAAACAAATGAACATGTTACTCATATATGAGTTAACACATAAATTCCATACCAAAATTCTTCTTGCCTATCAATAGAACTCAAGTCTAAAACAATTTTTAATAGATTTTTTTATTTTATTTTATCAAATGACTTAATTGATGTTTCAAAGATTATGAATTATTTGTTATATACAAGTAAGAAACACGTGCTGCACATGAAATTTAATAATTTTTTTTAAAGTATAAAAATTTATAAAAGAGTACTGTAACATACCTTTAAGTTTTGTGGCATCTTAAAAAAATGTACTTTTATGAAATATGAGGCTGCTTTAACCTCTTTGTTCTTGTTCGCATCAACTTTTTAGAAATTAATTTAATTTTACATTGCAAATTCTCAATTTTCTTGTAATAATTGTTATATATTTCATTCCTATTATGATTCCACAAAATTTTGGTAAACAACACCAATGAATTTATTATATAAAATTTCTAGTAAAAAAATAACAACATTTTCATGTCGACTCATTACCATTTCAACTTCATAAGTAAATGAGACCTTATACTTGAGGAGAGAAAATTCACAATCTACAAGGGTAGAGAAAGAGGCCATTATTCATACATTCCATGGAATAGTAAAAGTCAAGACACAAGGACTTTAAAATGATCATCACACTCAACTCCCTGCAAGTTCACACCCAAAAACAAGGGAAAAAAAAAAGGAAAATGAAAATTTAAACAAGAAATACCTTCATCTACTTCAGTTTGAAGTACAATATGACAATGATGGCAATAACAAGGACAGCAACTATGCAGGCAATTGTCCACTTATTTTTGTTCATCCTCCTTGACACATTGGTTAAGATTCTTTTGCTTTTGCCTATGTTGTCATCCACTCCATGAAGCTGCAAACAGTGGCAGAAAGGAAAAAAAAATTACAGTATCATGTTCAATCCCTTTTGGTGCTATATAAAAGAAGCAAGAAAGTTTTTTGGCTTTTTCTTTCCAATAAGAAATACGAACCAAAGATTTGCAGGCGAACGATATCATTTATTAACTATTGCAAAGGAAGACGTGTGCTAACGAAAAAACAAACTTGATACCAATCAATAATTGCTAAGGGAAGAGTAAAAGGTACCATAAATCCTGCCGTAATGGCATATCTTTCAGTCAAAAAACAGTTCAGGACTAGTGAAATGCTGAAAGCACTCAATAATTGTTATGATGAGAGAAACTACTCCAGAGGAAAGAAAAAGGGACTAAATAAAGCAGGATTATTGGTAGTCATCAGCATAATGAGAAGGATTACCGTGTCATGGGCGTGCAAAAGGGATTGTCTCTGTGAATGTAAATCTTGGAGGATTGAGACACCAAGGTCCTCGGTTTCAAGCATGGTTCTTCGACTATCCTTGATTCTGTCACTTGTCTTGCCCAATCTCTCTGTTGTGGTCATTAGTCTAGTTCTCTGATCAGCTGATGCCTAAAGAATATGGTTTCATCCTCATTATAAGATGATTGCTCCAAAAATTTCAGAGAGGGAGAGAGGATAGAGTATCAGGGCATGCAAAATCCACACTTTTTCAAAATCCTCCCTAAACTATCACTACCTTAATCATCAAATCAATAAATGCTAGCATGTAATTCGTCGTGAGTGGCGCTTAGGCTATATTTGGGAGTGTTATTTACCATGATAAAAGTGCATTTTAGATGGTAAAAGCACATGTTTGACTATAATTTTATAAGCACTTTCAAAAAAGGCAAATGTACTGAGGAAGTGGTTTTCAGAAAAACAATTGATAGGTGCTTTATCAATTGCTTTTGGCTTAAACACTTCATTCTTAATATCTAATCTCTAATGACACACTTTCTTTAAATACACTCTACACACTTTCTCCCACAATTTTCCCTCTCCAGTCTCCACACATCATTTCTCATTAATCCCTCTTTTGACACACCTTTTCTCTCACTAAGTTCCCATTAGACACTCTTTCTCACACAGCTACAAGCAACATTCAACTAATTAATGGCTTGACCATGTTCCTAATTCTTCGTGGACTGCCAGAACTAACAAGTAACAAGTGCTGGTCTGAACACTGATCAGAAGCTTATGTCGTTGCTAACCAACTCTTGAACTCAGATTCCAAACAAAAAGTTACTAAAACTTAATAGACAAACAACAAACAACTTTCATATATTAAGAATCTTCCACTAAAGCAGGAAAGAAAGAGTGAAAAAATGCATCTTCCCTGCATATGATTACAATTTACGTGAGGTCAAACAACTATATATTGCCATACCGTGAGAGTATCAGCTAATCCAGATTCCAGCAACTCGTCGCGTGCAGCTGCGTTCAAGTTGCCAGATGAAATTCGTTTAACTTCACTTTTCAGATTGTTCAAATCCGATTTATATTCCCTTAACTTAGCTAGAAGAATGCCCTTGACACTGGGCTGCAAACTCCTGGCATCAAGATCCATTTTCCGAATCTGAAGCATTGCAACAAGCTTTATGTCAATCAAATAATTTAGTGTAAAAAGCCAATTCAATTAGTACCGAAAAACTCCAAAAAACACCAGAGATTCCGCTTCATCAATACCACCCTTTATCTCAGAAAGCTTCTGCTTCTTCTGCTCTGCAGAATTATGAAGGGGAAAAAAAAAAAAATTCAAGCTCCATAAATTGCTCAATCGTAGAAATAAATCCAAAAAGTCGTGCTACTCTACATACTTGAGGGGGAAAAAGAACAACACACGAATACTTATGAAAGGAGATAAGGTCACTATACCTCCCTCGAGGCCACCGGCGGAGGTGCACTTTCTGGAAAGACTCGCAGAAAGCTCGCAATATTGGCGTTCGTATCCTTCAAATACCTCGCTCATCGTGTCCAGAGTTCCGAAAACCCCTCCGTCCAACTATTGAGGTCAACGATTCCTTTAAAAGTCAAGCAATTGAAGAAAAAACTTTCTAATTATCCGAGCAGAAAGTTCTCACTGCAAATTCCAAACTAGAAAACCTAAAATTGATCAAGCTGTAAAAGCTTTTGTCGCTGTGCACTAATCAAACTCCATGTTGACATAGAACGAAATCCGGAAGAACAAACCTGAAATAGATGGGAATCCGAGAGGTCGGTCAAAGGCCGGAGAAGCACGGCGGCGGTGGCCTATTGCGTGGCGGAATGAGCAGAGAGCGTGCGTTTGAAGCTGAACTCGGCCAAGGAGACTTAAAACTGGGGATAATTGTTTTAGCCCTTTGGTTCACTGTTTTGTTTCTTAAGTGGGGCACTATCTTATGCTCGCGTTCACAATATACAAGTAAATTAAAAAATTGAAGTAATAAATCATTAATTTTATGGATAACTTTTTAATCATAAACTCTATGAATGAAGGTTGAAACAGCCAAGTGAGTCTAACTTAGAAGTAATTGGCATAATTTACTGGTTCGATGATTCGATTTTAAAACTATATATCCATTTTTAATGTTGATTTTAAAGTTTTATGGAACCTAAATCAACTTTGACCCAAACTAACTTGATCTAAGATTCATTTACACTGGTTATAAACTTCATGTTTTAGAGACGACATATGTGAAAAAAAAAGTGGCCTAAGTCAAATGATCTTTTATTGTCTCGAAGAGATGATATAGGATAGCAAGATTTTAGAATACAATAGTTTGCTAATTAGAATATTTTAATAATTAGTTCTAATTTTAGTAATATTAAGAAAAGCGGATTGGTCTTAAGTAGTTAGGGTAAAAAAAATAACTTAAATAATTACTATTTTTTTTCCATCTAAATATAGCTGGAGTGGATAAAGTATCTTAATATCATCGGAGAGATATTGAAGAATTTTAAAAAGTTTCCAAGGAGCTGTTTGCTAACCATTCCATTTTCACAATCTTCCACAGACAATCAAGTTTTGGCTCAAAATTCGTATATAATTGATAGGTCAAATCTTAGAACAGGTTTATAAGAAAAGGTTCTATGAGAAACTCCTTTCCTCTCTATGGTTTTTCTCTCCCAAAAAGTACTCACACACTGTTCTGTTCTTGCAGATCGATGATAGCCGAGAAAATATGTGTCCATAATATTGTTTTAGGCCTTTGTCATCGAAAAATGTAGGAGATTCGATCCCAAATTGTACGGTTCTTCGAAAATGTTTTGTTTGTTTTTAGTTAAAATGTGCCACTTCGATCCACTAAAACCGATTTCTAGCGCATGCTTCTACTACGTCAAGCGGTCATATCCATTCCGACACTGTTGGAGTTCTACCATTACTAGTGATAATTCGTGGAGGTACACCCCTTATCCATTAACCTCATTCTTTTTTCCTTCTTCTTTTAGTACAATAGCATCTGCTCATCTAGAAAAATAATACATCTCTGCAAGAATATAATAATGTCCGACTGATCATTTAGGCATTATAAAGCTAACGAGTTCAAGCCTCAAACAAGCTTCACATCTTTTTTCCATCAAATCTGGTTGGATTGTCCCAATTGAACTTCCACCTTATGTAAATAGAGCACGAAAAACAATACAAAATTTCTGTTACTTTAAACGACTCGAAGTTGGGAAATGAAGGAAGCACAAAGGTTCAAGAATAGAAACTGAGGGCCTTGAATCCTCTGCAGATCAAGCAGATACTTCTCCTCTTGCATTTTGTAAAGCTGTAATAAGAAATCAATGTCAAGTTAGCATGTGTTCTGATTTGCCTGCCTTTTTTAAACTACTTGCACACCATTACAAATGAGTTTAGAGAAGCATTTAATTAATTAACTTTATCAAAAGTGTTTTAAAATGAATGTTTCACTGCTAATTCCAAAACTCACCCTTTGTCATCATGTTTTGATATCTTAGAGAGAGAAAAAAAAATGATACTAACTACAATAAATGTAGTACTACTATTTTTTTTTTTGATATTTGCGGACCAGCTTACGCGTACCTCGACTAATCTTATCGGATAACTGTCTGATTCTACAATATTTGACGCCGGAAAATACACAAGAATTACTAATCTCTAAAGTAGGTGGCCATCATGGGGTTTGAATTCATTTCCCCCTCATTAACCCTAACATCTTTGGACCAATAAGCCACCATGATGATTAGTTTTTTAATATTTTAAAATGCGGATTTTAATTGTTGAAGTTAAAATAAGTAATAACTTTTAGTCTCCAATATGTGCAATACCCATGCCCCTCCATTAACCTACATGACATCGGTACATGCCCACCACGTCAACATGATTAACACATATATCTACGTGTTATTATTGGATTTTTTTAAATAATTTTTTTTAAATCATTGACAAAACTAGTGTAGGGTTTAGAGTAATTACAAAACTAATGTAGATAAATCAGTGGGATAGGCTGCAATTTTACCAACAGTCGCAGGTGTGGGCTGCGATTTCAACGTAAATTGCAGTGATCACCCGCGACTCAGGACGAAATCACGGTCGATGATCGCGATTTCAGTGAAGTGGCTACGACTTCTCCTCGACGAGTTGGAGCCACGTCTCTACTGACGCGTACAATGTTTAAGTCCCGTACAATGTAAAAATTTAAATAAAAAAATAAAAGGGTTCTAAAGGAGTGCGTGCGACTTCCATGCATGCAGACCGAAGTCACATACATTGCTTTGTCACCTGCTACGTCAAGTATATATGTTTGCACAGAAATTACAGTTATTGTATACGAGTTTTGACTTTTATTTTAACCCAACATATTTTTGTCAATACTTTTGAAAAGTTACCTTACTTTTGAATTTATTTATTTAAATTATATTTATTTTGTTATTATTTTTAAACTAACGTTATTTTTGTAATTTATTTTTAAAACTAAATTATTTTAAAACTTGTTGGTTATTATTTTGTTAAAATATTTTGAGCTAAATATATGTTTAATTTCAATATAATGTAATGTTCAAGTATTTCACATTTATAAAAGTTTCAATTTAGTCTTTTATGTTTTAATATGTTTTTAATTATATCATTCTTTAGATTATCTGATGATAAACTTAATATTTAGTGAATTGGTATAAATTTGATCAAACAAACTACCTGAGGCAGAAAAGTTTCAACCTCCTCTAAAGTTTTAAGAAATTTGACAAAAGAAATTTAAACTTTTCTTCTCTTCAAGGGGCATATTTTCCCTCTAAATATCCTATAACTCGCTAAATACTATTAAGTTTATTAAACAATATGGAACCACCAAACAAGTATTAAGCCAACAATTAACAATAAAATAGCGACAAGACTCTTGAGATATCTATATATAATTAAAATTTACTCTAACTCATCATTAGTTTAATCTTTCTGGACACATTAGTAAATTTAATCATATTTAAACTGATATTCCAAACCCACAAGTAAGAGGGAAGTAATTGAAATATCTGTATATAATTAAACTTACTCTAATCCATCAGCTTAAACTTTTAGATTCATCCGTGATCGAAGACGAGAATAGAATAAAACAAAAGGTTGCAAATAGAAAGTAGAAAATGAGGATGAAATTAGGACATACCTGAACTTCAAACTTGACCACATTTTGCAATATAGTAACAAGACCATGAGTGGGCATGATGGTGGGTTGGAAATGGGATGGAGTCTCTTGTGTTAGCTTACATTTCATGTTGTAATCTCCAATCTTCTTCCAACACACATTCAGCTCTTGTAGCACTTTTAGCACTTTTATCATTATATCACGTGGGTTTGCTTTAGCCTATGAAACACAAAACACACACACGACAAGTTTTGGTCATCCTAGGAAGCAATTTTATGCCTAGTGTTTTCATATCAAACACTTATTTTATAAGTATTTATACGAGTACTAGAGTATTTAATTATTACATGTTAATTGGGAGTGATTTTGGCTATACTTAAAATTACTTTTTGCCGTTGATCTCTAGAATCACTCGGATGTTATTATAAAATATTACTATTTTCAATCAAAGTAGTGACGACAAGAATGATGGCGCACCTCATATTAAAATAACTTTCAAATACGTCTTAACGTTTGACAAGGATATACACGAGTGATTTTAGAAATTAAGAGGTTTGAAAACATGCCTTAATATGTGTTTTGCCAAACTAATTATAAGTTTATTTAAATATATATATATATATATATATATAATGTTCGGTAACAAATAAAAAATATTTTTAATAAAATGGGATTATTTAATTTTTTTTTTAAGAAATGCTTGATATCTACTTCTAAAAAAATGTGATTTTAAAATGATGGATCTAAGGGTGTTTTTAGGAGTGATGAGCGATTTCGAAAAAAAAAATATTTAAATATAATTGATTTTTCAAAATCATCATCTAAGTAATACCTTAAAAATCAATTTAGCTTTCATAAAATCAATTTCGTAATTTACCTAACATGATTGAAAGAAAGTGAAGTGATTTTAACAATGACAAAAATAATTTTTACGTAACTGTAACCAAATCATACCTCCCAAAAGCATCCTAAAATCACTTCAAAGCTCTCAAACCACGCAACGGGAAAAATGGTCATCCACAAAAGTTATTCATTTTATATACATTTTATAATTTTTTATAATAATAACTTTTTATTTTATATAATTTTTAACATATAAAAATTATATATTTATACTCAATAGTTGGTTCATACTGTTTAATAGTCTTCTATAGTAATTGTACATTAGTAAATCATTTTTGGATGTAAATCAACAAAAATATATTTTATATTAATATATAAGTGATAGACTTTATTGATGATACAAAAATGATATATTTGATAGATTTTATCGTATAAGTGATTATTTGTAAATTATTTTTCTGTCAAAATCGTAAATTTTAATTTATGAAACAGCAAATTTGGAGTTTTGTGGAAAACAAACCTGTAATCCAAGAGCCCATTTCCCATTAACTGGAATCTGAGGGGTGAGGCCCATAACTCCAAAAGAAGGCCACGTGGCAACATTTGAATGAATGAAATTTGAGTGACACGTGGCAACATTTGGACTCATATTGTTAGGTTCCTAAACAATAATAAAATCAGAGAATGAAAAATCATGAGCTTCAAACTCAAGATAAAATTTTCATGGTCATAAGTGATTTAAATAAATTTAAATTGCTACAATTATTGCTTCTTGAATAATATCAAAAAATAACCTTTACACACGTCTATTAGTGATTGCAGATATTGATTGACGTGTGACAGATTTCTTATGAAATTTTCATGCAAAATATTGTTTTTTTATACTGTATTTATAAATATGGCAAAATTATTGGTCATTCCCTACCATTCTTCTAACTCAAAACTAATAATTAGATTAAATTAATTGAGTTTAAAAAGTGTGATGAACTTACCATTAATTCATGGAACTCAGCACCAAGATAGCCACCAGAAATAGGGGACCGATCGCCTACTAGTAAATAGTAAGTGACCGTTGCCTGAAACCGAGTGACTGTAATAATTTAATACAATTCATATAAAATATTACAAAAATAGCTACTAAAAACTATGATAAGTCTAAGATTTCATGAGCATTATTTTAAGTTATTTTTACTCCCATACTACATCAAATTACTAATTAGATCCTAAAAATTTAATTTGTTTGATTAGATCAAACTTGTAAATTTAATAAATTTCTCAATGAATCTAAAATTTAATCAATGATGTTATCTATATTTGTTTGAGTAGCCACATTGATAGTATTTGTACAGGGTAAGTTTAACAAAAGAAATAATAATAAATGAAAACTAAATTATAAAAATAGATAAATTACCTCATTTTTAGTTCTATTATGAAGAGACTCAACCAACTTATTCCTGTTAAATCCCATCATAACCACTCTTTGGAGAACATCCTCGTCAATCTGCAAGAAGCATACAAATATATGAAACTAGGCAACAAGGAAATTTACGTGCTAATTAAGTATCGAACTCACAACCTCATGATTGGAGATATATGCCAATTATCGTTGAGCTGTACTCGTTTTGGCTTTCTCGGTCAACTTTTAAATTCAGTTACGTTTTCAAATTCATGGCCTTAAAAAGTTTAAAGTTAAAATTGACAGATGAACTACAAAATTCACAGATAAAAATCGTACATAATTGAAATACGAGTGTATTATTAGAAGGCGTAAAGTAAAGTAAGTAATCACCTTTTGAACTTGTTGGGTAATAGAGATTGGTTTGAGGGCTAAATAGCGAGGAAGATGAGCTTGAAACCATGGATGTTGCCTTATTTGTGGTATTGTTATTCGTCTTAGTGGATCAACTACAAGTATCCTTGCGATCAAGTCCTTTGCCTCAGTTGATAAGTGCCTTGGAAGATTATACACTCCATTCTAAAGTATGAATAATACATACAAATTTATTATTTTTACTCCGATCAAAATACCTCTCTACGCTAAATATATGTTTTAGTCACTTTTTTTCAATTCTAGTTCTTGACGTTTTGACATTTTTTCATTCGGTCCTTCACCATCGGTGAATGTTAAAAATGGTTGATGGTGAACTTATGTAGCATCATAATACTTAATGAATTGGTGAAAATTTAGAGGAGAAAGAAAAAGTCATCTCTGTTTGCTATGTCTTATGTTTCAAGTTTTCTTATTCTAAGATTTTTTTTCCTCCTCTTAATTTCCACCAATTTATTTGTATGATGTCGTGCAAGTTTATTATCAGCCAATTTTAACATTTATTAAACAGTGACGGACTAAATTAAAAGATGTTAGAAACAAAAGTCGAAATTATGAAAAATTCTCGGACATGAAGGACTAAAACATATCTTTCGTAGATAAATCTGGACTTTCGAGAGTACCTTTATTTTATAACGAAGGATGGGAATGTTTTCATCATCAAATGGAAGAAAACCACAAAGAAGAGCATACAATATAACCCCACAGCTCCATATGTCTACTTCAGGCCCGGGATACAATTTCCCACTAATAACCTGAAAAATGGTAATAAAAAAAAATCAATTTCAGTTAAAATCATGATTCTAAATATCTGTCGACACGTTAATATTTCCATCGACATGTCCATATTTTCATGGTTTTGACATCGACATGAAGGGTAAATCGACATTTCCATCATAGTACAAAAAAATCGACAAAATATCAACAAAATGTCACTAATATATACATAATATCAATATTAATTATTTTTTAACTTATTTAGAAATATGAAAATGTTTATTTGTTAATTTAAATATTTTTTACGATTTTTTAATTTCTATAACTTTTACAGAAATATCCACCGACATCGACATTTAATTGAAACCTCGATATTTTCATCAACATTTAAAACCTTGATTAAAACACTTGAGTAGATGGTTACATTTATTTAGAAGTGTTTTGGGTCATAAAATTTTTTTTTTTTATTATTATTACATTACTCAACATTGATTTTACTAATCACGGCATATTTCAAGTGATTCTTAGTCAATTATTTTTTTTCCGGAGAATATCAATCTACTATTTAAAAAATATATATTTTTATTTATTACCAAAAGACTACAAATTTAAGTAGAATTACCTCAGGAGCAGCATAGTTAGGACTCCCACAACTTGTCTTGAGGAAATGCCCATCATACATGACATTGCTAAAACCGAAATCAGCTATCTTTACATTCAATTCAGAATCCAATAACACATTTTCAGGCTTAAGATCTCGATGAACTATCATATTTCTGTGACAGTGCTCCACTCCAGATATTACCTACCTCAAATGCCTTCGGTATCAGATAAAGATAATGAAAGATACGAAAAAAAGTAGGATTTGTTTGACAACGTTCTCGTTTCCAAAACATAAATAAGAAGATTGTTTTATTGTACTTAAATTCATGGATGTCGGGTCATGCAATTCATTTTTCTTTACTAAAAATGAAGAAATAAAAACATGAAACGGGAACGTTACCAAACGAGCCCGTAGTTACCTGCTGGAAAAGCCTACGAGCTTCATCTTCCTTCAACCTACCCTTCTCCACAATATAATCAAAGAGTTCTCCATTTTTGACATACTCCATTACTACATAGGTATCAGTTGGTGTCTCTATAACTTCATATAGTTGTACGATGTGAGGATGCATAAACAACTTCATTATTTTAATCTCTCTTCTTACTGCAAAATATCAATTTAAGCATGAATAAAAAAAAAGCGTGAGCCTTTTTTACTCCTAAAAAATTAAGTACGACACAGAGGCTAGGCAATTCAAAGAATATATCTAAAATACATTTATTACACTAAATATATGGTTTTTTTTTTTCTGAGTACAACAAATGGAATGGGGGGTTCGAACTTATAATCTCTTGGTTAATATCGAGTGTCAATTGCGGTTGAGTTAAACTCATGTTGACACATTAAACATGTGTTAAGGCCTCATTTACTTGTTAGGAATTTGAATAAAAATTAATTTTATAATCTATTTGAAGTTGCTTATTAGAAATTATCTAAAATCGAAATAAAAAATCTAATGACGTTGTTTCAAACTGTTTGAAATTAGAAGAGGCATGAGACCTATAATAATTGATGGTAAAAACTTTGGCTCCTTATACTTAAAAAGAAGAAACTTCATCCCTAGTATTATTAAATATTTGACAATTAAAAAAGAGAAATATTAAAAAAAAAGTTAAGTTGCCAAATATTTAGTGGTATTAAGGAGGAGTTAATCCTTAACTTTAAACAGTCAAGTTTTTCCATAATTAATTTTGTGCAAGTAATTTTTATATAATTATTTTAACACTTAGTTGCACATTTTTTCAAGTGAGTTTTAACATTATTGACATGTGAGTTCGAATCTTCCTATCCCACTTGTTGTACTAAAAAAAGGACGAGAGACAAAAATTTATTTCCCAAACATTCTATTTTAAAATGAAAAGTGATTTTGGCATGACTAAAACCGATTCTAGCTGTGTCAAAATTACTTCCGAACATGCCCCTAGATAAAAGATAAAACGAACCTTTATCTTCCAAACCCATCTTGGCTATCTTGTGACGATTGAGGATCTTAATGGCAACTTTATGTCCAGTTAATTTATGTTGTGCAATTTTTACTTTTCCAGTTGCCCCAATTCCAAGAGTTCTTCCCAGCTTGTAGTTTCTTAGAAACACGTCAACGGTCCTATCTTCTTTTACCGCCACCACATCCATTTTACTGTCTCAATACTTCTTCAAAATATTCCTACAAAATTTACCCATAATAATATTAATTATAATTAACTAGAACTATTTTAGTACAAATTTATAAACTACGGCATTTTAATAATTTTGGTGAGTAAAATGCCGTGCTAAAATTGAGACCGAAAGAGATGAGACAAAAATGAAAATGAAATGACCAAAAAGTTAAATTAAATTTTAAAAATATGAGGACCCAAACGAACGTTTTGAAAATATAGAGGTCAAAATTAACAAAAACCAAAATAGACATTTTAAAAGTAGAGAGACTAAAATGAATTAAAGCGTCGAGTACAAAAATAATAGTTAAACCTAAAATTTAATTTTATTTAACTTGGAAGGATAGCCTGATGTAACGTTGCTTCATGTTGTTTTGGTACCTGAGGAAGCTGTTATTTTAGATGGGGAAAATATTCCTTTTTAGATAATCTTTAGCTTGGAATTTCTTTCTTTATTATTTTTTCCTTCTAATCAAATTTGTCTAGGCAATTTAAAGCCTCATTCGCCTAGTTGAAGAACAGCTTTGGAGGAATTAAATTTTAGACTTTTAGACTTATTAATTCTTTGTCGAGACCATTAAATCTCATACTTTATGCAAGTTTTGAGTGTCGCTTAGATGACATGTCTTAGAAAGATTCAAGTTTTATTGGTCATCAAATTTATGAAGTGTTTCGATCTTGAAAAAGAGGATTCGATCCTTGCTTCTAGGTTTGACCTGAAGCTAATTTACATCCAACTTATCCTTCGAGTTGAATCAAATTGATAGTTGGATTTTAATGGATCAAATTCAAGGTTTGTTTCTAGCTTCATCAACTAATTTACCATTTTAATTAACTTCACAAACTTCGCCGGGTCAAAGAAGTGACAACTTTATTTTCTAAACTTTTATATATAATCTTTCAATTTTTTTGTCGCCATGAGAGATTATGTCACCATTCCGCTCCTATTTTATAGTATTCAAATCAAACAAGGTGAAATTATCAAAATATCCTTGAAATGATCCACCCTTACTGCTATAAAATTTGTCTCCAACTCTCTCCCAAATCATATCTCTAGACTCCATGCCTTACACCTAGTTGGAGGAAAAGGGTAAAGGGAATAATATTTTAACTTTCGTGAAATGGTAAAAAAGTCAAAGTGAACCTAATTTAATGGTAATTTACATATATCTCCAATCACGAGGTTGTGAGTTCGATCCACTCCGAGAGGTTGCATCATAAAAACAATAAATAAATTACAGGTAATAAGTTTTCAATATATCTTTTACATTTCTTCCCGCCCCTAATTCAACATTATTTCAATTATTCATATTTTACTTATTTAATTCTTTTTTAACAAATGTTGAATTTGTTAAATATTTATTAGTTGGATTACTAACATTTACTAATAAATTATTATTTTTATTGAAGGAAAAAAAATATGACCAGGCCTCTCTAAATCTGTTCATTTTTGTTCAAATATTCATTGTATTATTTATTTTTATTTTTATTTTTTTAGCTCACCAAACATGTGAGATGGAGGCCAACCAGAATATAGTTCAATTAGTTAAGGCAYTTAACTTCGATCTAAAAATGATACATATTGTACTAAAAAAATATATATGTGCGTGGAAATAGTGAGTTGAATCTTTGACCTTTTTATTGAAAATTTATGCCTCCAGTTTTTTATAATACCTCAACGATTGAGAATTAGTTAGGCTTAAATTTAGTACTCATTGTATTGTATTATTAAGATTACATTATTGAGACTATTTTTATTTATGCTATGAATGCTAAATATGATTTTGTTTATAATTATATTTTAAAACAGAAGTGGTAAAATATAAATTTCAATACTATGAATGTTAAAGAGTTTGATGCTTACCTAAACAATCAATTTTTAAAAAAAAGTAAGGTAAAACTCCTTTGTTTCTGTTTTGTTCTTTAATAGTGCTGCAAATCTTAGCCAAATTTCCAAATTAAAAAAAAATTATGTATACATATAAACAAAATTTTGTTATTTGTTAAAGTCAAAAACTGCGCTTTTAGATCGGTAAGAAACATCATCAATTTTTTAAATCAACCAATTAAAAAAAAAAACTCAGAAGAATGAGAAAGAAAATATTCAAAAAAAAAAGAAAAAGAAAAAAAGAAATCGAAACAGATGGATAGAAGAAAACTAACCAATTCGGTGTAGAAGATTAAATAGAAAAGCCACAAAGGAAGTGCTTTCCGATCGCCGATGGCCGGAATTACAGCTCCGATAGATGATTCTGGTGATTTTCAAACCTCAACTGCACCAAACGACGACGCTTCGGCGTCCAAGTGGCAGATCGCCGGAATTGCAGCTCCGATTGATGATTCCGGTGATAACTTCAACTACCAAATCGAAGAGAGGCATTTTAATGGGGGGAAAATGGGGTTCTCTGCGGGGTAATTTGGTAAACTCGCATTGATGGAACTGGTTTCGAATGACGGTGGTGGAAGCAAGAATGGAGGTGTGTTGGGATAAAATTGCGGTCAAAAACACGTGGGCCAAAAACTAGAGTGTGTTTGCGCACAAAATCAAACAGAAGTTCGAGATCCCGAGTTGTAGTACATCATCAACATCTAAATCTCTTGAATATTGTGAGGTTTTCATTCTTATATTTCATAGGATCGCATTGTTGTAGTTTGTATTGCCTATTATTTATCCCAATATCATAGTAGAATTCGTTGTCGTGGAAGACTAGACGTAGTCCATAATTGGGTGAACCAGTATAAATTTGTTTGTATCGTTCTGTGCTTTCCCTAATTTTCTTATTATTGTGTGTGACTTAGTTTTCACATTGTGTGACTTATGCCTTCTGTTTTTGGAATATTTTAAGCTCAATTTCAACCCTTTTTTTATATTTTTTTATTTGGAAAGAAAATGACGTTTTTTAAAAAAATTAATGTGAATAAATCATTTGTTTTACACGAGAAATCATGACAATAACGTCGTTTAATATTGGACATAAAAATGGTTATACTTATATTACATGTTGATGCTGTCGAGCTGAGATGCAACTTCTAAGACAGTGAGACCTGCACAAGGAACAAACACTCCAAAAGCTCGAACTGTAATAGGTTGTTCTCGGACAGAATAGCATACCTGAAGTGTGGGGTGGAGCGTCCCTTTTATAGGAAGGCAGTGGACAAAGTCGTTGGAGTCGTTTCGACCGATGTTTATGGTTGTCGGGCCCCAGGTCAGTGGTCGGACCTGAGGTCGATTCCTCGAGTCGGCGAAGCTTGTTTTGCCTTCCCAACTCGACAGGTTATCAGGTCGATGGGTATTGATGGTCCGATTTTTCCCTTCTGGTGACTTCGAAGGAAGGTACACGTGTTGAAACTTATTTTCACTACCAACATTATATATAAATAATATTATAAGTAACTAGGAAGATCCAAAATTTTATATAAGGAATATATATTAATTCTAAACTTAGCGAGGTGTGAACATTAAATTTATTGGTAAAATAAACTTAGCTCCATGGCAATTGAAACCTGACTCTAACCACGAGGTCATGAGTTTAAAATCTCTCCTTGTTGTAAAAAGAAATAAAATCTTGATTGAACCTTAAATATAGATGGACTTTGTAACTTTTTTATCTTCTCATAGCTTTTGTTTTTATGGAAAATAATTAAAAGCATATATATGTAGGAAATTGATAGACTTAAAGAGAGAAAAAAATGACAAGTGTTAGCCTTTTTGTTGAAATTTTTTACTTGTGTGGACTTATTCAATAATTGATTATTAGAGATATATACTGGAAAATTAAGGAAACACAAAATTAACCAATTTGAATCCAATTGTAGCGTTGTTTCTTAAGATAAATTTATTCCCTCTATGATACTAATTTCATGAACAATTGTCTCTCAAGATAGGACGCATATACTAACCTGTTAACGTACAGAGGGGAAAAGAGAGAATTTTGAGGGATGATTTCTCTGTATGCAAAATTGAAAAGAAATCACAATTTATAGACTATTTGTGGTCATTCAAATAGTCACATCTTTTCGTATAAAGTTATATCTTTACAAAAGACAAGTCCTATTACGAAAAATTGTGTTTCTTTATTTTATCAATAATTCCAACATTTATTTTATGGGATGATCAAACTTAATTCTACCCAATTTATTGAATTGAGTTAATTTTTAATTTATGGACATACATTATTTGGATGTTTGTTAACCGAATAAAAAATTATGAAAGGCACCCTAAAACACACCTTTTGACTTTTGTGCTCAAATAAAAATTGAAGAATTAGGAATTAATTTTTTTTTATAATTAATTGATTCATACATTGTTTATGAAGATGTCTTTGTTCATTCTTCCTCTCTCAAGGAAATTCCTTATAAGTTTTTGTCTTACCCAATTGGATGAAGTCATCTATTGGAAGAGGAAAATAAAACATTTTCACATACAAAGATAAGTTTAACATTTAGTGGGAAGTTTTTTAAAAATAATAATCCAAAGAAAACAAAATATCCCTTTTTTTTATAACGAGAAAATATCTTTTTCACCTTGATGTAAACGATGAATTGACATTTTTTTTAAAAAAAAAATCAATTGGGAGAAAATTTTGTTCCTATCTTTCAATGGTGGAAAGGTCGAAGTGTTAGAGAGGAGAATGATTCTTTATTGGAAAATGACATGATTAAATATTAGAACATCATTATCAAGTTGAACCAAAATCCTCGAGCAAAGTTGTTTACTTCAATGGTTGTATTAAAGGTGTAAATGGCTCGCTTCAAGTTAGTTTTTTCTTTCTATGTTGGGTGAGAATCTAACTCATAATCTCTTGGTTAAAGATATATGTCAATTATCGTGAGCTATATTTATTTTAACTGTTTCAAGTTAGTTATCGGCCATTAAAAAAAAAAAAGAAATCTTATCTAACATATTAATTTTAAAAAATATATTAATATCAACCTTGAAATTAAGGTCTTTAAAATTGGATAGACCAAAAGAAATAAAATTTATCAAAACCAAATATTAGTAGCACATCCAAAACAAGTTTAATATGAAAACAAAATATATCTAAAATATACTCTATATATATAATATGATCAGGTTGACGTATGTATGTATCTATATATATATTAATGTAAAATATACTCTATATATTAATGTAAAATATACTCTTTCTATGTTCAATAGTATGATTAAAGATATAAATAGAAAGAAAGAAAATCATATTTGAATTTGGATGATCTAATATTGTTTTTTTTTTCTTTATTATAAATTGTTGTCAGGAGAAGATGCTGAAGAGGAAGGACACTTCATATGAAGATTCAGCACTGGTAGTTAAGACTTCGTGTAAAAGAAAGCTTGTTATTGAGATGCTGACAATCTGGACTCATGAAGAAAGATCACCCTATAGAGCCAGTTCGTCAAAGGGCTTTGGGTTGGATGCTGGCAGCGGAGACGATGATCAGTTCCTCTGCAACGAGAGAATTTATCCTCATGGTATGTCTGTTTTACCATGACAGAGAATGTGATGTTAGCGGTTCCACAAGTTTACACATAGGCATTGACTTGACGGTTATGCAAGCTGACGAGGAAAGAAAAATCTTGGAATGTCACATTCCAAGTGATGTGGTGGAGGAGGTTATAATTCTCTGAATTGAGAATTATGATTGTAATGAGTGCAGTAGAAGCTGTGAATTGAGAGAAATATGTGCGATTCCTTGTGGGCCGTGGTTTTTTATTCGGTTTAGAGTTATCCACATTAATTCATGCGGTAGAGTAAGAGATTTTTCCTATCAATTTGAGGTATGGTATTAAATATCTGTCGATATGTCTATTGACATTTCTATATATCCATGGGTTCGACATCGACATGAAAAGGTAAATGAACATTTTCATTATATTAAAAAAAAATATTAACAAAATATCACCAAAATGTCACTAATATATACATAATTTTAATATTAATCATTTTTAATTTATTTAGAAATAAAAAAATGTTTATTTGTTAATTTAATTTTTGTTTACGATGTTTTAATTTCTTAATTTTATCAAAATATCCATCTAACTATTTTATTGATATTTCCATAAAATTAAGACTTCGACATTTCCATCAACATCTACTTTTAAAACCTTATCAAGGAAAAACTTGAAAAAATTCCTTTTAAAAATATCATTAACTAAACATATTTTCATGAAACTTTTAATTGAAAAGAACAGAGTATCATAAACTTGAGAAAGCTTCAGGATTATCCATTTCATTCAGTCTTTTCTTTTCTCTCTTTCTTTTCTTTTATTATTTTTTTATATCTAATTTAGAAATGAATATTTGTAACTCATTCTCATCCTACAAAGTTTCTGACTTTTTGTCCATTGGAGACCCATCTACGCTCATGAAAACAAACAAATGGATTTTCTGAATCCCATCTTTCTATAACAAAGAAAAAAAAAGTTCCAAAGGAGGAGATATTGAATAGATTACAATAGCAGAATAATAAGAGGCAGCTTTTGATACAGAACTTAACTTGGTTGTTCTTGTCGAAAATCGCGGTAGACGTGCCATTTCTGATACCTTTGAAGCTCTGCTAAAACAGGTCTAAGACGAGGAGAAGTTGTGCATTCTGAACAGCAGCATCCTCTCAACTCCTTCACACAGTCTTTACAGCATCTGAAAACCAAAACTCATTCCAATAAATCTAGCCAAAACTCGCTGAATCTCGTGAAGCAAAACTTATGTAGTGATTAAAGAGAAGGGCCGAATGTAGCCAAATTTCGCAAAGCAGACTTACAGAAATAGCAGATTGCAGTCAAGATTCGCGCAATTACGATGCCTCAATTGAGAGACCTGAGAAGTACATATATAGCATCTGGCAAAAGCATTATTCCCAGAATGTTGAGTGGTTCTGGATGATTCCACTTTGGGGTTGTAGGCCGATGGAAGCAGTGAGAGTCTCGAGTCAAACACGAATAAATTTCCGACCCATTGCTCGCTACCTTCATTTTTCAAATAATGAGAAACTCCTCCTTTTAAGGTGTAAAGGTTTTGGAACCCTCTTTCCCTGCCACAGACAATGATAAAATAAGGAATCAAGATTAACATCGTCCCCATGATGTCCATCATGGCCAATGCCAATAGGTTGCCGGGAAGAAAAAGCAAGTGTTTTACTTACATACGGTTAATGATGAATAAACCACCATATCAATCCAAAAGTTTAAGCTGATGGGTTGGGTAAATTTAATTCATTTATGAGTATCTCAACACTCCCCTCACTCGTGGGCTTGGATAATTGCACAAAGACCCAACAAGTGGAAATTATAATAAATGGGGAGGAAACCAACGATGCAGTTAACATGGTTGGTTTCCTCCCCATTTATTATAATTTCCACTTGTTGGGTCTTGTTCCAATTTTCCAAGCCCACAAGTAAGGGAGAGTGTTAAGTATCCAAATAAATAGATTAAATTCACCCAACCCATCAACTTAAGCTTTTGAGTTGAGTGGCGGTTTATTCATCTTTAACACATATGACGGATTAAGGGCGAAGTGATTATTAATAGAGGGAGGGGGTCGGGGATTAGGCATAATTTTGAAATTAATTATCTTGCACTTGCACGGCAGAGATAGCCCTCTCAAAAGACTATTACCACTGTACGTTCACTTTACATTGCAATATAATTTCAGTGCTACTTTCTCATACTCAGGATCCTATCACAATATCAACCAAGGTGTATTTAAGATGTATACAGGAAAGTATATGTATAACAGATTTGAAACATATATCCTACATGTTATACATCAACGTGACTTAAAATAGAAACATGATATGAACTTCTACGGCAATTGAAGTGGTTTACGGATTTATCCAAGCATATAAACTGAAGAATGCAAATGAAACGGAACTGAGCAGAATGTTAACTACATCTACTTTCCATGTTTGATCTGAAGACGGTACAGATAAGAAAAGCGGATTACCTTAGAATTGTCGAATATACGTCACAACGGATACCACCAGTGCAATACATCAATACCTCTGTCTTCTCTTTGTCAACATTTGCCAAAGGATCAGAAGCAGCATCCTGAATAAGCATAAACAGGGAGAGGCAATACCATTAACAAAGAGAAATCACTACTTTTCCCTAATAGAGGCTCACAAGTTCTTTATTTATTTATGTATCCTGGTTCCTGATCACAAAGTAAAAATAAATAAGAGGACAGTTCAAAGTTATCTCCTCACATAGTAGGGGGAAAAAGGATTACAGGAATGATATCCTCTATTCAAAGATGTACTAAATATCAATATGTTGAAATAATTACATCAACTGAAATCAATGAAATACAGCATGATTTATTCAGAAAATTATTACAGATGAAATCAGTTACGGGGAAGAGTTTCATTGGAATTAAAAAATTTATATAAAATAAAAAAAAAAACATTGTTTGCTGAAGTGCCCTCTTCTTTTTTTTTTTTTTTTTAGAATGCTAAAAGTGATTGTTGAAGCAAAGGAAAAGTTCTTAAAACATCAGTCACCTTGTTATCAGCTATTCTTTTTATTGTTGATTGATGCAGAGGAAAATCATAAGATTTTTAAAAGTGATTGAACCTCGCTTCTATTATTTATGGACAGAGAAGAAGCACAAGCTAAGGGAAAAATTCAAGAGCTCCTTATTCTCTCCCTAATACTATTCCAGTGAAAACAAACCAAAAAAATACTGACCTCCTCTCTCGCCATCGAGATATACCATAGATACAAAGTCATAAACATAATTACCCCTTCTAACTAACTTGGCCCTAAATTCATAACAGAAAACACCCACGCATACCCTTACATCAGCTACTGCCCTCCCCTCAGTCTCTTTCTAGAATATACCTTTTCTAATGGGAGGCCTATAATAAAGCTATCGCATAAATAGATATGAGCTCGAGGAATTATACTAAGATTTAGTTTTGCAGGGGCTGTTATTTTGGCGAAGAGGAAGACTGATTTGATGTCAACTCTGACAGCATGTTGCACAGTTGACATACCTTAGTTTGTGATAAACCAAATGATGTGAACCTAAAACTGTCCACAGTTGGCCGCTGAGCACCTTCGAAATGACCGATGTCCCACTCATATCCTGAATACATGTAATTGAAAAGCAACTATTACAAAGTGAAGTAAACAAAGAGAAGCAGCAATGTGACTACTGGGTAGAATGGCCATACACCAAAAGCTAGAGGAACAAAGCTCCTTTTTCTTAGTTCCTCAAAATCATAAAAGAGCTCTTCTGTTTCAATTTAATTTTCAAAGAGAGCCGAAAATAAAAGAGTAGCCAAAGAATGGTAGCCCAAAACTCTACTGTTCATAAAGTAACTAAGACTATTGAGTTCATTTTTTTTTCCTTTTATTTTCTTCTTCTTTTCTTTTTTATACTAAGAAATCGAGCTTTCATCGAGAAAAATGAAAGAAAATACAACTAGCTTTTCTTTCATTAGTTATATATCGTAACTTCCATATTGAACAGAACATGGAGGAAAATACCACTTTCAAGGGTCTATTTGAGTAATTATTTACACATATAATCATTAGCATCATTTATAAGAAAATTGAACGAGAAAAAATTTTGGAATAAAAACACTTACCATTTCGAATATCCAATAGAATATAATTTGTATCCTCGTTCCTATTCATTGTTTCCAACCTTTCTCTCCATTCAGATGGAGTTAAAGGAGTTGCCCGCTTTGATGGGTCAAGTAAAGGAAGATGTGAAAAATCTTCTTCCAACTGGGAAAAAGAAAGCCTGAGAGTTAGTGAATGTTTCCTCCTCACTCCCCTCCAGATGAACAAATTAGAACTAAGTCATTCAAATAGTTGTCATGTACAGGAATATATTGATTTTATTCACCTGACATGTTCACATAGGAGCTATCGGTAGCATATTAAAATCAGACAGTTTCGAGTACTCTATAAAAAGGATAAACTAGAAATGAAACTCACAGAAAGAAAGAGAGTGTGAGATAATAAAACTACAGGATAAAAGAAGGGTGCAACAATCCTGCAGTAAACTTAAACAACGAAGTTCGTTCTGAAGAAAGTGATTTTGCTTACTTGTACAAGTGAAGGCTTATAACGCAACTTCAACTTTGGAAAGGCATGGCCATTTATTGATGGAGAAACTTGTATTAGGATATCCGAAAATCTGGGATCTTCTCTTAACCAGTTAGCATAAGCAAGAGCATCTTTTAATGGCCCACTGTACTGAACCAAGAATTATATGATTAGCACAGATATCATAAATAAGAGATCAATAATGATTAAAATGGATTGAGAAAGTAAAACTAGCGTCATTAGCAATTTGATCTTGTTTTAAGGTTCAAAGATTGAGATAAAAATATTTAACGAGAATTACAGAATCATATCTCTCCTTTTCATGCATACTAATGTTGACAGACACCTAAAAATATGAAGAATTCAAAATATAAAAAACAAAAAAACTAGAAGATGATAACGCTTTGAATAGAATAGAAGTGTCCACAAATAATTAACTTCCACTTCTACATCAATCAGACAAACAATAAATACTGTGCCATTGAAAAAAATATTAGAATATAACCTTCAGGCAAATCAACTTTCTTTGCACTCCAAGTAATTAATGACATATAATTATGACTTGTGATCTTGATAAAAATATATATATGATTCAACAAACAAACAATTTGGTACCTTGTGTGTTACTGCAATTCAATGGAAATTCAACAAATTATTAATATCCGTGAGCAAATATATTTCGGATACTGAGCTGCTTAATCATATGAATCCACAAAAAATTGCTGAACTTTATAGTCGTCAACATCTTGACATATTTGAGCAAAAAGCACCTACAAGTGCATAACCTAGTCTAAAAAGATAATAGTCCTATATATGTTTTTTCTATAAGAAAAAATTTCATAGATGACATGAAATTACAAAAAACTTGTCCAATTAGCTAAAGAGTGTTCAACCTATAGTTGTTGAAACCAAAACTGATTTCTACAATTGCAAGATGAGGGATTGGCCCATGACTTTTTCTGGGAACTGCTGGTTGGATAAGTGGAAGAGAACTTTATTTCTCAAAGGAGGGAAATTAACTCTTATCAAGTCGGTCCCTTATAGTTTTCCTTCCTATTATTTTTCCACGTTCAAGCTTCCTCGGGGAGTTGCCATAAGCTTATAGTTGCCACGGTGACCTCTAAACTCAATTTTTTTCTTCTTTGATAACTAGAAGTTAGAGTTTTGCTCTCATATATCTAGGAGCACCTGCGCCCGCTCCAAGGTTCGGACCGGGGAGACATCAAGGATTTTTGGTATTAAGCTCGTCAGACTAATATGACCAAGAGACCCGAGCTCTTGCCAACTAGGCCAACCCTTGGACACCTCTAAACTCAAATTTCAGTGTGATAAACCAGTGAAACCGTACAGAATGGATGACATGTAAATGAATCTCATTCAGAAAAGCAGGTATACATAGAAATTAAGATATATTTGAACACAACAATACCTGTGCGTTAATTCCTTGTTCATTCAGATAGACTCGGCCATGAATATCCAAGTCCTGAAGAAAAAAAAGAGTACATTACAGATTTTGCTCATAATCTTCACAATTAGTTACCCAAATCATAATTTCTTCTAGGTTTTGTGAGCTGTGGATAAAGAAAGAAATTACCCTCATGAAGGAGAGGTGGTTAGCGACCTCAGCTTCCGGGTCCTCGATGAACACAAAATGATAGAAATTGACAACTACGAAATCTTCCTCTGAAGGCTGGGAAACGAGCTGATGGCGCTCCTCGTTTGGCTGTAAGCTCGATACAGAAACCGAAAGGAACGTATTAGGGGCCGAGGAAACTGCAATTTGCCTTTGCTTACATTTGCCGCGCCGGAGCGGAAGCCTAATGGCGCTAATGGCGAAACCAATTGTACAGGAAACGGTTGGTCTCTGGATAAGGGAAATGGAAGGAGCGGTGAGTGAGAGTGGAGTAGCCATGGCCGCCAAATGCTACTGGCGGGGCAAGCTATAGCCAATAGGATGCCATAGGAATGGTGGTGCAGGAATCAGGAGCTTTTGTCCACTGCCTCATCTCTAGACATGAAAACTTTGGAGGTTCGAATTTGTGCATTATAATTATTAAACTATTAAATTTGTGTAGGATAGGTCTCACTTTTCCGAAGCTCGTTTGGTAATGTTTCCTATCTGGACTTTGATCTTTTTCTCTGCTCACTTTTAACCGTATATCCATTATATTTTTTGTTGAGGCAATTTATCCTTTTATTGTATGATTTTTGGTTAATCTTTTGAGAAATTATTTCAAATCTGGTTAAAAGTTTTGGTAGATTGAGTCAATAATTTATTTTAAATGATGTAAGTAGTTTACTTTTGGAATGTCTTTCAATTAGCTAGCTTGGAAAATTATGTATGATGGTTTGAATGAGTTTGTGATGAAAGAATGTTTAATTATGTGATCTCATGCATGGTTTATGAATGTGTAAATTGTTGGAGGCATAAAACGATATTGCCACGTGAAAGACAGAGAGTTGGCTGGTCATCAAGTCTGTCCCAAATGCTCGTTCTCCCGAAGGAACAACCTACAACACTTAGCCAAATTATGGAGAGGAAGATACTAAAAGCCTACCTACGTAGATCATGTGCACTCAACGGGTCGACCTTTGGCCCGATACGCTAACTATTGGTTAGATACCAAACCCATTAATAGGAGGCTCACTTTGTGCCTAACATTCTAGCTAGCTCGATCTAAATACTAAAGTCAAACTCAAAATTGAGACTGGAGCGTGGGAGTATTTGTTCTCTTGTGTTTGTCCTCAAGCAACTCTACGGTTCATTCCAAATCACTCACCCAACTCGTCCAGTTAGTCTACACCAAGTCGACTTGACCGACATTTGTTTAACAAATATAAATGTTTTTTTACGAAAATAATGTGGCAATTACCCTCCTTTATTTTCTTAAGTAGATGCACACAAACTGAACTGCTAGGTGGGTAGGTATGACTCCACATACTAGGTGCCAACTATCGTATGATTGGGTAGAGTCCCACATGAAACCTGCCTACACACCACCATAGAGTTTGTAACTAAGTATATTTTTTTTTTACGTTATAGACTAAAGCACTTTGTCGGTGAGACTTGGCTTAGATGACAGGGTACTTACGGTATTGGTTTATGTAAAAATGAGTTAATTGTCCATATTGGCCGAAAAAGAAAATGTTTTTGATGGATAAAAAATTTAGATCCAACATATTTATGTTATTATTATACATGTACATGTCTAACATGTTACTTAATAGTTTTAATACTCACTCTTTTTCCTACGATCTTTTTTAAATAAAGACAAGAGCAACGAGATGAGGGACAGGGTTGTTTCTTGAGTATGCTATGTGTTCCAATGTTTTTCCTCACTTCTTAATAATTATGCTTTAATGGTTTTATGTTTAAGGATTTGATATAATCTTTTTGTTCATTTACTTATTATTTTATGTTAATTAGAACTTTTTAAATTTCTTTATTTTTTTTAATGGAGTCTCAAATAAAGTTTTAATTTTTAATTATTTAAGAAATTATATTGGGCTATTATTTTCTTTTTCTACGGTGCTTTCTTCCAAATTTTTAAATGACAATAGCATACATATATTAATGGTCGTAGCCAGCCTAAATCTAAATAAGTCTGGTCATTACTTATTCAAAAAAAAAAAAAAGTCTGGTCGTTACAATAATCTCCTAGATCATTTAACTGGACCAAACTAAAGTCGATGAGTAAAAACTCTTAACTTGGTAGATTATATCAATTTTCACCCTAAACTTTTAATTTAATTAAATTAGACTCTAAACTTAGATAAGTATTATAATTTTAACCCTGTATCAATTTTGATTAGTTCTCTCACTCATTTTAACAATAAGCAAAGTAAAAAAGCTCCAAAAGCTCGCTAATTTAATGGAAATCAAGCTTCACACAAAATTAAGTTTAACATTTCTTAAAGCTTAACATGAAGATTGCAACACATCCAAATTAAGGTGTAATTTGATGAAATTAAAATTAATATACATTGTCAAGTTTAGAGTAAAATCGATCATCCTGTTATGTTTTTTCGTAATATTTATTATCTTCATTGTAAAAGTTGAAAATGTATCTCTTGTATTGTATTTAATGATAAATAATTTCAACAATGCTCTCCATTAATCACTACACAAATTTATTACGCTTTATGGACAACTCTCAATTCTCAAGTACCAAGAAGGATGGGATTTGATAGCACAGAGGATCAAGGCTTCCCACAAGGTACTTTCTTACGTAGAAAGAAATAACTATTTCCTCCCTAGATAAATACTGAATAGACAAATATAACAGCTTAAAACTTTGAAATCCAACAGATCATTTATACCCATAGCCGATAGTGTTTTGGCTATGTCAAAATCACTCCAAAATATGCCTTAAAATGATACCGTTTCTTGCAAACAGCGATATTGAGATGTATGATTTATTGTTCCACCTCCTTGGGAAGATAGCTATGGAGTCGACCACCTATAACAAGAGTAAAAAAATCTGACAGATGATTTATACCATAGCCATAGTTTTTTGGCTACGTCAAAATCACTCCAAAATATGCCTTAAAATGATACAGTTTATTTCCAAACAACAATATTGAGATGGATGATTCATTGTTCCACCTCCTAAAGAAAGACCGCTATGGAGTCGACCACCTATAACAAGAGTGAAAATATTTCATATGAATGGACAGAATTTTACATTCGAAGACGAGGGGCATTCCTTCCTTTTTCTGCCTGTATATTTCGGAGCAAAACTTGGAGTTTGTTTGTACAAGAGATCTAAGAAATGCCTCGATTAACTATCTGAGAAGCAGCAGTCCCATGAAGATAATAATAATCATAATAACAAATGCACCTTCTGAGAATAACAGTCGCTAAAAACCAAAAACAAAATTTGAGAATGTTATTACCAAGCCAAATAATATCAAAGATAGACTTGCTAATCTCATCCATGCCAAAATTCCATCATGATTTTATTTCTATCATGTGAAGGATCATACATAAGTAGTTCTACAAAAGACAAGAAGTTTTTATGGTGGGAAATCAAGAATCAGTCTATAATCAGATAATGGAACGAAATGCCAGAAAAGGTGTGCTAATAATGTAAGCAACAATTGGAAGGAACTTGAGTTCATTCAGTCAGTCTCAGTTAAAGCATGGCTGCCACTCAAGTGTCTCACCTGCAAACATTGGAACAATATCCCCAAACGAAAATGAAAAGGACTCTGGAACCTTCCATGGAGCCTTTTGCAGTGTAATTTTTGAGGTGTTTCTGGGGAGTCCGTAGAAGTCTGGTCCGTTGAAACTCGTAAATGCTTCTAATTTATCGAGAGCACCCGCCTTGACAGAGGAAAAGGAAAACAAAGAAAAAGGAAACGATGCTTTGATGAAAATGAAGAGATGAACAAATTATTAGCATAATATGAAACAAAATAGAATACCTCTTCGAACACCTTTGCATATAATGATAAGGCAATTGGGGCGCTGTATATACCCGCACATCCACAAGTACATTCTTTCCTTCGCCTCTCGTGTGGAGCACTATCAGTTCCGAGGAAAAACTTTTTACTTCCACTGGTCACAGCTGACACAATTGCCTCTCCTAGAAGAGAGGAAGTGAGTGAATTCAAAAGAAGAAATACTCTACAACTTTCTTTTGGGGGGTGGGTATTGGTGCTCATGGAATGGACAAATATTGAGTACTTTGGGCCTATTCTCAATTTACATGAAGAAAAGAAGTCGGGAATCCCTCAAAAGATAAATAATGAAAATCAAAAGCCACTCTGGCTGAGATTAAGGATGCCATAGGATTAGTTTGGCATACCTTTACTTTAAACACTTTTAGAAGTATTTTTTCTTCAAACAATTTTAGTAGGTGGTTTAATTTAAACAATTCGTGCAGTTGCTTACATTTTCTTAAAAGTGCTTTTAATCCCAAATTTGTTTGATTGCACTATATCTCAAAGTGATTCTAGAAAGGTCAAATTACCATAAAGTGATTTTAAAGTAGTTCTTGGTTAATCACTTTAAAATCACTTTTTTTTTTTTTTTTTAGAATCAACCTTCAAAAAATTTTAAGGTAAATAAACAATTAAAGGAGTTTTATTTGTTACCAAAATTGCACAATCAAAACAGAAAAAGAATCGTTTTAGCCGTTCGAAGTCACTTAGGAAGCTATGCAAAACACACTCTAAATCTCATTATTTCTTCTCATTTGAGTAAGAAGAATATCTAATAATGTTTACAGCAATTATTTTTCTCGACATAATTTCAGTAGATTGCTGAAACTGACAAAAAAGAAGACAAAGAGTGAGGAAAATATAGAGAATCTGCAAAAAGTGTAGTTGGAACTTACTATGGGTCTCTCTCTTGAGTACTGGGAGACAGTAATTATGTGGCTGCAATCCTCCTTGAAACAAAGAATTCCTATTGAGAAGAAGATGCTGTGGAGTAACTGTTGCTGCTAAAAATCCTGCAAAATATTTTGAAAGTCATATACAAGCCCCAACACTTCCATTGAAAATAGTGAAAGTATAGTATATATAATATACCATCTTTGTAAGACTGAACAAAGTTAGCAGCGTCTGCAGTAGTGATATGCTCCATCACCACCTTCAGTTTTGGAAGCCTCTGAATCAAGGGTTTCAACACAGTTTCAATGAAGACCTTCTCACGATCAAACACGTCAATATCGGGATTTGTTACTTCGCCATGAACCTACAAAGAGGTCTGTTTAACTAAAAAAGAAAAGCTAAATTCACTGCTTCAATATTGGACAAATAAAAAAGTGTTCTATCAGCAAACTACCAACAGAGGCATATTCTGTTCAACCATCTCCTCAAGGACCGGTAGACACTTTCCAAAAAGATCAGTTACACCATCTTGGGAATTTGTTGTAGCACCAGCAGGATACAATTTTACAGCATAAACGGCCCCACTTCTTCCTGTCAAAACATCGTCGTGTAAACAAATTGAATACAGCCTCAGAGAATCACTAAATAGGAAGTTAGAAGGAGAAGCAATGAATATTAAAAGCAAATCTCCTACAATGATTCATTTCACGTTGCAAGCCAAGACTTACTTGCGAGCTTAATCTCGTTAGGGCTCATTGTATCTGTCAAATAAAGCGTCATAAGAGGAATGAAGTTGCTGTTGGACGGTAATGTTTTCAAGATAGAATCTCGATAAGCAACTGCAGCGGCTGTGGTAGTGATGGGTGGCTTCAAATTTGGCATCACAATAGCCCTTCCAAAGTTACTTGCGCTGCATATTAAAAGGACGAAAATCAACAACTGACATCACAGCTAAAAGCTATTATTTGTTATAATATGTTAATGAAGTATATCCAGTAGTTGCTTCACATATCATTTAAGAATTGACATCAAAATCATATGGTTACACACTTATCCTTGATCCTACTTGACCACCCTTTCCAGCATGCAAACAAGACTCTTTTGGCTTAACTTTAAGCCTTTATTTGGTCAATTGGAATGAAAGAATGAATCTTTCAAGACATGAAGACAACTTTAGAAATATTTTTTGATTCTCTATCTTTTCTGGCTATATATCTAAGTGTAAAAATGTCTTGCCCTGTAATTATAGCATGACCTCAATTGGAGAAGTTCTTTTTAACTTCTTTTTGAAAGGTTCTTCCCCTTTTTCTATAATTTCATACCATCAATGAAATTATTTCTTATAAAAAGAAAGACGTTAAAACCTTATGGCAGCAACTATTACCAAAAAAATAATAATAATAAAAAAAAATGAAAAAGGAAAGGAAAGGATGAAAGAACCTCACAAGATAAATTTACCTGTGAGGGAGAACAGCTTTTAAAAGATCACCATCACGGAGATGAAGATGCCAATCATCAGGCTGGGTGAGTGTGAGCTGCATTTTTGGTGCTTGACGCTTTAAAAACTTGAGCCCTTCAAACTTTTGCACAGGTGACTTCAGTGGCTACCATCAACAATGTAAATCAGTAATAGGAAAGCATAGATCCGAAATTTAATCAAATTATGACAGGATGATAATATGCAAATCCCATTTTGTTTTCAATAGACCAAAACATACAGAGTGGAATTTATCAAAATCAGGTCATTGTCACAAATGAAATATCAATTGAATGTAATTAGAGTGGAGTCTATTATTAACAGTAGCATATACTTGGAACGTAAGGACCAAAGTCTTTGTCATAGTAAAATCCAGAGATGACCTCGGGCCTCTTTAAAATGATATTTCTTCTGTTCAAATGAAAATATAAGATCAGAGATAACAACCCAACTAAGATTAATTACGTTAGGATAATAATTACAATAAGTAACAGAAAAGGCAGACCAAGAAGAAGCTTGATATTTTAAAATATTCAACCTTTCCTTCCATTCTTTTTTTAACAAGAAACATACATTTTATCGAATAGATGGAAAGAATAAAGATGTTAAAGGTTACAAACTCGCATGGGAAGTGCAAAGAACAAAACAACCAAACAGAGCAAAACAAGCTCTCCAAAGATAACAAAAAACCAACCAGACCTAAAATAACATTCATAGTCGATTCATTTGCTTGCGTTAAGCCCAAACTCAAACATCAGTTGCTCTAGCATATGCGGTTCTTTAGGAAAAAAAAAAAGGTTAAATCTTAATTGGGTCCATCCACAAGCTACCAAAAAGAGATTTTGAAGAACAAAACAATCAAATAAAAGTTGTTCGCCGGTTTCCTGTGAACTAATTGTGCTTAGCTTATACCAATCGCATTTGTAACGTAAACCCTAAAATAGAATCTCAAACTTGAACTAAAAATCGATTAAAGATAAACGAAGAGTGATAGCTGAAGGTGGCGATTACTCACCTTGAGCTAGGGTTGTGGTATTGGAAGATAGGAGGGAAACTAGAGCTTGACATCAGTGGTTTTTGCAGAGAATATGCAGCAAGATTAGAGAATTCCTTTTCTCTTTCTCCCAGACACAGCAGAGATTCTTGCTGGGTGACATCGGTTCGGTTTGTAAGAAGGAACACCGAACCAATGTCCAAAACCGATCTTCAGGACATCGGTTCGATTTGAACAAAGAACACTGAAACTTACAACAGCATTTTATTCCCTAAAGCAAATTCATGGAATAACCCACAACTCAAGGGCATAAAGGAGCTACCCAATGCAGTGGACTGCTGCTCTAAGAGCAGGAATCAGAATGAACAGGCCCCAGCATCCGAAGCACCCAAATAAAATATCTAATGGTTAAAGATATTAAACATTAGCTCGCAAATCCAACAGTTTACAAGCGCAACAACAAAAATAGCAAGAGGAATTGTGTTAAATTCAGTCAAGATCCTATAAAATTCTCTAATTAAGCATATGCCACGAACTTGCAAATCTGGAATTCGACAACCGTTAATACAAGCTGAGACAATTGATGAACGGCGTCGATCACTGTTCCTTTCCTAAGTGGATCGAAACCCTCAGCCCCAAAATTCGAAAAACTTAAATGGAAATGGAATCAGTAATTTTGAGGAAGAAGAAGAGAAGAGAGGAAAAGGAAGCTGACCTTCAAGTTGGTAAGCAAGTCGGGAGACGTGAGAAACGACGTGGGACTGTGAATCAACAAATGGCGCCAAGCAATTACATGAGAGCAGAGAGAGCAATTTAAATGTTCATGTCTAGTCGGAAAAAAAAAGATTTGATGTCTATCAAAATGTCTAAACTCTTGCTTTTGTAGAAATGGATTGGTAGATAGATGGTGTATTTAGGAGTTAAAAATAGAAAATTTACATCCAAAATAATTCACAAAATAGATCATATCATAACAAAAATTACTAATATATTAAATGTGAAATTGGTAAATCATTATTAAAATATATTAAATGTGTTAATTCAACTCTCCAAAATTGAAAATCCTAAAACCTCAAAATTCTATAATCTCCTTCTTCTCCCTCGATTTTCTTTCACTCATCCGACTATCGGGCTTCTTCTTCCTCTAAAGCATCCGATCATTTCTCCGACATCGTCGCTGTCTCCGACGGCTCCGATTTCTTTGTTTGCAAAAAATTTCACCGCCGACCTCCGTCACATCTTATTTCGTTAGTTACCATTATACGGTAACATCATCGTCGTCTCCCTTCGTCTCTGACTGCTCCATTACACGGTAACATCTAATTTCTATTGGACAATAAAGGACAAAATAGGAACCAGGAGGTAAAAAACGTTGTGCCGTGGGCGGAACCACTGCCTTGAAAGCAAAATCGGCACGACCTCGGTGCTAAATCGTTTTACTGCCGGTATGCTCGTCGAAATAGGAGTGGAATCAATCCCGTGCTCAGTTAAGATAGTTGAGAGAAGTGGAAAAGTGAAGGAATTGAGTGGAGAATGAGATGAATGAGATGATCTGAAATGGAAGGGGAGTGAGCTTTTTATAGTGACGTGGTAGCCCAAAATAGAATTGAATTTTTAAAAAATAAAAATTTATTTTGGCCATCCATGTGTCTTTTGAATTGCTTGAATTTCTCATTCAACATTCAACTATCTACATATCCAACAATTCATCTTAGTTTGCCACGTGTCTTTGACTTTGTAGAAGAAATTTGCCCCAAAAGGAAAATTTGCTTTCAAGGCAGTGGTTCCGCCCACGGCACAACGTTTTTTACCTCCTGGTTCCTATTTTGTCCTTTATTGTCCAACAATTTCATCTCCGACCTCCATCGCATGAGCATTTCAGTCTGTCGGTTCCCATTATACCGTAGTTTATGCTATATTTAGGTTTTAATTTTTGATAGAATCGAGGTTCATCTCTTGCTCTCTGGTTCTATTGTTTAAATTAGTTCGCATATACGAGTATATAGTTCTGATTTCTCTGGTTATTAAAACTAGAGATATATATATCCTACGGAAATAGAACCAGAGAACTAAAGAAATCAGAACTATGTACTTGTATATTATATCTCTGGTTCTATTGTTTTATGTATCATTTAACTAGAGATATAATATATATCCTACGGAAATAGGACCAGAGAACCAAAGAAATCAGAACTATATACCCGTATATTATATCTCTGGTTCTATTGTTTTATGTATCATTTATATCTCTAGCTTTATGTAGCAGAAATCGGAAGAAATGAGGATCGTGAGATTTGGATATTTTTTAATTAATAATATTGGGAAATAAAGAAAATCAATCTGAATTAAGGGATTTGAATTGACAATTAATATGGGGCCTACATTACTTAAAGGAGATATTAATTTATGGAAATAACTATTTTTGAAAATCCAAGTAGGGGTGAATTCGGAACTAAACTAAAATCCTACTCGTAGAAATCTAAAACTGTAAAATTATAAAAATTTAGACAATTATGTAAATAAATTTCTAAAACAGCCATCTGAAGATATTATCTCTCGTAAAAATGTGGATGAAAATTTTGATAAAATGTATTTCAATTCGTTTAAGCTATTGGACTCTAATACTATATTAATATTTATGGCTACATATCAAAATTAATTGGCAATGAAAAGAGTAGCTCATATCTATGATAAACCCATATAAGGTCATTTTTGTTTTCAACGTGGGATCCTTAATAAAATTGAGATGTTGAACTATTTTAAAAGAATCGATCAAACCAGTCGATTCAATTTGGTTTGATTCAACTGGTCGGTTCGATGGAGAACTTGGAAGAGAGACATGGAGGTAGTGAGAATAAATAAATATTCTCGAGGTAACAGGCATGTGACATTAGGGAGCTAGGGTTTTAATCTCTTTTTCTTCCTCTCTCTTTTTACTTTTTAGTGCAAAATACATTTTTGGTTCCTGAGGTTTGAGGTAGGTGTCTACTTGGTCCCTAAAGTTTCAAAATGTACACTTTTGGTCATTGAAGTTTAAATTAGGTGTCAACTTAGTCCCCCAAGTTTTAAACTGAACACTTTTGGTCTCTGAAATTTGAGAAATAGTTCTAAATGATCCCTAATTTTTTTACTGTTATTAACTAATATTAAAATGACGTGGCAAATTTCGATTAAATTGTTTATTGTAGTTGGTTATGTGACAAATTATATTAATTAAATAATATATGTCCAGTATGAATGATGGACGGTAGCAGCAAAGACGTGGTGGTCACCGCAAAAGGGTAGGAGAAAGAGAGAAAAAGAGATGAGAAGAGGAGAGAGAAAGTACCACCACTTACCATATATTATTTAATTAATATAATTTGCCACGTCAGCAACTACAATAAATAATTTAATTGCAATTTGTCACGTCATTTTAATATTAGTTAATTAACAGTAAAAAAAATCATGGATCATTTAAAACTATTTCTCAAATTTCAGGGACCAAGAGTGTTCATTTGAAAACTTCACGAGCCAAATTGACACTTAATTTAAACCTTAAGGACCAAACATGTTCATTTTGAAACTTCAGGACCAAGTAGACACGTATCTCAAACCTCAGGGATAAAAAATGTTCATTTTGAAACTTCAGGGACCAAGTAGACACTTACCTCAAACCTAGGAACCAAAAATGTATTTTGCCCTACTTTTTAAGTTGGTGATTGATAAATTTCTCTAACTTCTTTTTTTACTAAAACTTTTAATTTTATATCTAATAGATCTTTAGACTTTCAATTATACATCTAATTAAGTTCCTTAACTTTTAATTTTATGTGCAAATAAGTCCTTTAATATATTTAAACATTGTTCGATTTAATGTATCTATTACATAAAATTGAATTTTGTGTTTACTACAATTCTAAACTTTCAATTTGTTCCAACAGATCCATAAATTGTTTAAAATATTGTACACATAAAGGACCTATTAGTCACAAATTGAAAATACAATAATCTATTAGACATAAAATTAAAAATTTAATAATATATTAGCCATAAAATTGAAAGTTTTGGAATCTATGATTCGGTGACCAAACATGAATTTAACTTTCTTTAAAAAAGATATTTTTGAAGAATGGTAAATAATATATTATTTTGAGAGATAAATATTAAATTAAATTGAATTAAGTTATAAATTTGTTCCCTATAATTTGCAAAATAGGATCAATTGGTGGGGCTCATCATAAAAATCACACTGATAATCTCATTTTTCTCTCAAATCTTCATCAATATTCTTCTCAATTTTTAGTATGCTAAAATACAATCAAACGATATGTCGAACATATAACGAGCATGCTTTTACAGCATAAAAATTCTCAAATAAAAAAAAAAACAATATATCCAACATACTTTCATAATCAGAACCCAAAGAAAACTATAATACAATAATTACCTATAACCATATTAGCAAGTGTAAATTAGTAATAAACATGCAAGCAAGAGAAACAAGAAAACACGCATCAAGTAACAAACATCCTCCAGAGTAAGAACTACTTACTACATGGGTGTGCTAAAACCACTAAGCTTAATTTGATTAACGATTCCAATTTTATATTTGTTGGAAAAATAGGAAACAATCAAATGTCGTCTTATGTACATAAAGGACTAGTAATGCTTTTTTTTAGTACAAGATATGGAGGTGGGGGATTCGAACTCACGACCTTTTGGCCGAATATAGGTACTTTTAACTCGTTGAGTTATGTTCAGATTGACAGAACTAATTGAAAAATTAGAGTCTAGAAATAAATTAGAACTACACATGAAATAGATATATTATAATCTGTTCCACTCAATCCCTATTTCATGACCACATTTTTTTTCCGACTAAGGAATAGGAAACCTTTCTCTTGTTATCTGAATCCAATTTTCATTATATTCAAGAAAAGCCATATTTTTCTCAACAATGTCTTCGTCATTTGATCCATATAATACATAGTTATTATATTTAGGTTAAAGCTCCTGCATATATAATGTTAACTTTATTTATGTAAGCATAGTTTTATTTTACAAGCGAAAATATCTATAGAAACATATATAATTGTTTTCATTTAAACCATGATTTTAGAAGTCTTTTCTCGTTTTGTCCATTTTTTGTCGTTGCTTGTCGCTTAGAGAGGAAATGGTTTCATTATCTAAAATGAAGAACATTTCCCACCAAAAGATCAATCCAATAATACGATAAATAGTGCAAGACTTCTTCGTGAATTGCCACAGCAGGTTTTTACTTTTCAATGAGTGAAATATTTGTCTTCGGATGTATGTTGAAAGCTTCTATAGTCAAACTCATACGAGGTAACTTCACGTCAGTGGCCACTCCAATAGTCTTGAGAAACAAAATAATATACCAACCGAAGTCAATCTGCCACCATTCAAACCCAATCCTAGCTGAATACTCAAAGGCATGGTGATTGTTGTGCCAATTTTCTCCAAATGAAATAAAAGTCATCCACCTAAGAAGTATACAAAAAGAACTACAGTAAACTGCAAAATACACTCTTTTATTTTTCTTTAAAAAGTATTTGATTATTTTATAAATGCAACATTTCATAGCTCTATGAATTAAATTATCACATAATATTACAATGCAACATTGAATAAATGCTACATTGAGTTATCACTATATATATAAATAAAGTGACTGAAAAAAAATAATCATATCAGTCATTTAAATAAAAAATCTTTTATGTATTTCAAAATATATTACATGTATTTTAAAATTTTCAAATATAAAACAAATTTTCACTTATATGAGTTAAGTATATCACAAACTCACATCAACAATATATCAAATGTATATCACATACATATTGTACAGACACTCATATCAGTAGTATATCAAATGTATATCACATATATATTGCACATACACTCATATCAGTAGTACATCAGATGTATATCACATATATATTGCAAGTATATTATCAGACACTCATGTCAATAGTATATCATATATATATCACATAAATAAATCGGTAGTTATATATATTACAGATATATTATAAATATATTATAGATATATATCATTTGGGTAAGTTGTCATTTTAAAATTTGATCTCTATTTTTTTTTTCAAAAGTGCTATATTTAAAAAACTAAATATGGTTGGCTATTTTGCGAATCTTAGCTTACTAAATATTTTTGTCATATTTGCAACTACGGCTACATTTTAATATATATATATATATATATGATAAATAAATTAATTGTCAGTTTTAAATTTGACCTAAAAATCATTCAATTAACTTACCATTTAATAAATATAATTGGAATAAAGATCACAATTACAATCAACTATTTAAATTATTTTCACTCTAAAAAAATACACACTCACCAATTATTTTTAGACAAACCAGTATTACCCCATTGTTGATGGCCCCATTTATGGCATATTGAGCTCACCATAAATGTCGAATGTAAAAGCATTACAGTCCTCACAAACTGCGTGAAAAGGAGTAGATCAATATATCATATTTTGATCTTTGTTTTAATTTTTATTAACTATACTATATCCTAGATTATTAATTTAAAAAATGTAACGTATAATTGTAATTTAGGTGATATACTTGTCCTTCATTTAGTTGGTATATTATTATAGCTAAAAAAAGAAATGGTTTGTATATTCTATATATTTTGCTTATAATTAATTAAACTACTCCTATTTAGGTTTCATATGCTTAAAAACTAGTAAAGAGATTATTAATGATTCAACCCAATTTCTAACAAAAAAAAAAAAAAACTGAAGTATAAATTTATTTTGAGATGGAGTCTTATTTAATTCAATTTAAATTAATTTTTTTAAAGTCTTTGGTGTTCAAATAAAGAGAATGTAAAATATATATATATATTATCCATTTGATTGGTACTTGAAAGCAAATAAAACAGAATATTAGGTTTTATTTTACCGTTCCCCATATAAGAAAAGGAATTCCTCCAACGACGTAGAGAATGACTGCAAGAGCAATTACATGAAGAAGATACGTTTTGTGAATAAATCGATAGAAAGCTTGTTTCTCTAAGTCACCGACATTATTTGGTCTCCCATGTTTTCTAGCCATTACAAAGATGCCTCTTTCTTCTTCTTCAAAGTCACTAAAGTACTTCGGGCAGACTTTTTTAGTCAAAGCATAGGAATCAAAAGCCCAAGTTATATAACTAAACAACAATCCTTGGGTGGGGCTATCCGGGTCTCTTTCAGTATCAACAAATTGGTGATGATATCTATGCGTGCTCACCCAATCAATTGGATCGCCCTAAAATCCAAAAAAGAAAAAATTCAAAAGATAAATACTTCAAAATTTCTCTATTCATTATAAAAGTAAAAGGTAAAACGTGTTTGACGGGTGATGTGAAAATTGAAATATGAAAAAACAAGGGATTCATTGAAAAATAGTTGTATTCCATGTTTTTAGTGTTTTAATATATGTGTTTGATAGCAAATCTGGAAATTGAATCTCATTTTAAAAATTTATTTAAGTAATAACATTTGAAAATCAGCAGTAGCTACCAACTAAATGTTGAGCATAATCTAAAGTATTATTAGTTTAATTTATTAACATATATGTTATAAATTTTGTATAATTATTATTTACGATATTATATATTATATTATACATGTTTTAATTAAAAAAAGGAAAAAGGAAAAAAGAAATGAGTTTATAAAACGAAATAGTATATCTATCAATATTTTTATTTCTCTAATTTCAAATTTAAATTTTGAAAACAATGAAAACATAAAATGTTGTTTTCAAACTTTTTATCACAAAATTCAAAAACATTAAATTTATAACGAGGATTATAACGAAACAGGCTCTAAAGTATCACATATCAAACCTGGAGCGCATGAAGTCCGCAGTAAGCTAACAAATATTCAAACCATTTAGGAAGTTTGAAACTCTTGTGCGAAAGGTTTCTATGATAAGAAATACTCAAACCGAAGAGACCCGTGATAAAATATAATGCAAAAGCAACAAAAAACGCTCCCCAATTAAAGTGAAAGGGTGCAAAAATACAAGGCACGTGCACAAAGAAATAAATACAAGCCATTTTTATGTCTATATCGGTCCATTCTCCCTTCGCCATTTCCTTTGGCTCTTGTTTTGATTCGTCAATTAGCAAGTTCTTGCTTTAATTTATACTTCATCATCGACTTTGAATATGTCTATGTATTTATGGTGCATTTTATTCTCAATACAGATAATTTAATGCTCTCTTCCACTTTAATCAATAGCTTATTTAAATTGCAATACTCATAGAATTTTCAAATCGTCTGCATCTATTTAATATGTTATTTAAAAAAAAAATTATTATATACGTCAGGTGCTTTATCATTAGCTAGATGAATTAATTTAATCATATTAAGTCTTTCAAATACGATATATATATATAGACTATGTAAAAAGAAAATTATATATTTTTATTTTGCTCCATTTATTTTTTTCTTATTATTCCTATCTTGTCCATTATTTTTTAAATATTGGAAATATTGTTTTAAAAAATAAAAAAAWTTTTTAATAGATGTAATTATACATTTCACTTTTTTTTTCATATATCTTCATCTCCAAAATTTAATAAGCATTTTAATTTTCAAATAAAGTCGTCAATAATTGAGGTAGGTATGACAAACAATATTTTTTAGTTATTTTTTCTTTTGAAAAATGTGATATTATGTTAAAACAGAAAAGTCTCTTGTTTTATTTTTCACTTATAAATACTATACCTTAATTGTTTGATTTTAAATATAAAACCAATTTTAATTAAAATTTATAATGGCATTAATTAACAATATATTAATACCTTTCATTCTTTTGCTTTTTTAATTATAAATACTATACCCTTTTATTTATTGAAAAAGAAAATTAAATAATATGCTATAAAATTATATATTAATACAACTTTAAAATCATCTTTACTTTTAACAATAATACATTTATTAAATAGTTTTTAAACATTTCCATTAAATATTATTTTAAAACATTAAAATATATGTGGGTCGTGTTGCTAACTATACATAGTATATATATAAAAGGCGCGGTCGAGAACTTTTAATGTCAAATTTGTCCTTTCGTTGTAATCTTTTTCACCATTTTAGTAGCAATTTTGTCGTCCAAATACAAATCTCTAATATCCCTCCTCTCATCCTCACACTCTCCTTCTAAATTTCTTTCTTATGTTTTATTAGCTTCCTTTCTCTCCCCCTATAGTTTCTCTACACCTCTCCAAATTCTTAATATTATCGCTATCAAAAACTATTTCCTATTTTTCACTCTCTTTAACATTTCATTAATTATTTTTCTCTTTTTCATTTGGACTCTCCAAATTATCATTTATTTAGGTTTATTTATTATTTACTTAATTAATCCACTTAAATAAGCAGCCTTTAACCTACCCCATATAGTCCCTACACAATTTTTACCCTTCATTTAAGTTTCTTAAATGGCTCAAATAAACCTCACATACCATAGGTTTCATTTTTGCAAGGTGTGTGGGATGAATTTTTTAACTATTAATAATTGACATGTTACAATAACAAATAATTATTACATCGATAAAAAATAAGAGCCTAAGAGATTTGTTTTCAAATCTTATCTTTATATCGGTATTGGTTGCATCGTGACTTTCTGGTAAACCATGAAAATCTTATATAGGAATGTTCGAGAGTTGGAGAATCCAAAGATATTTAGAGATTTGTGCAATTTAATCGAACAGTTATGTCTCTAGGGCGGTTCATCTTCTTGCATAAAGGATTCACTCAAAATTGGTCTCCTCCACGTTTTGGCTCTATCTTTTTCCCTTTTAGCTTGTCAAAAAGTGGAATCGGATTTAAATGATGTTTTTACTTCGAAATAATAATAATTATTATTATTATCAAATCTCGCATTGGGAAAAAATCAAGGAATGTAAAAAGTCTTGAAAATTAATACCATCGATTAAAAAAACTTATAAGACCTTTTATCTTCTTTACGTAATTTATCTAATTTATTAATTTGATTCTCATCCTTCTACATAAATAGGCTATAAGATTAAATTAATAATATTTACTCTATGAATATTGTCACTATCACACTAAAAAAATATAGTGAGTATTATATTATTTTAATAGTAAAATTTATCTTTTAATTTAATTTTAAATTTTAAAGAAACTCAAAGATATTTAAGGCATATGCCTTTAATTGAAATTTATACCAATTTTTCGTATAAATTAAAATTTCCAACCTCCAATATGTCAAAAGAATAATTTCGTTGCTCGCTAGCCTTTTCGTCGCAAGTGTCCACTGACGACGGCTTTCACGCGACGCGTTTAGTAATGATACCGTTTTCGTTGCTGTTGACCATCAACGACGATAGAATTATTTTCTTTACTTAGTATCAAACTATTACAATGTGAAATAAAATTCTATTTTTTATTAAGCTACAGAAATAACTGATGATAGAAATAATCTTAACAATTGTTCGAAGAGCAAGACCTAGAAGATGAGACTCTCAAAACAAGAGACTCAGAGAAATTTGAACGCAACGAATAGATTATGACCTAAGACTCGAAGTAAAAAATAGGTAACCTGAAGAAGAGTGTCAGCACCACGACGCTAAGGCTAATGTGCCTCTCGGCACGTGGGACAAGCAAATTGGACTTATTCTTATTAATTAACTCAATTCACCAGAAAAAATCTTTTAAATACAGGACTAATGTCACTAATACAATGTCACGACAAACAAAAAATAACCCATTAATCTAACTAACTAACAATTATTTATAAAGTGGTTAATTAATCATGTAAAACCCTGTGCTCAAGATGGATGGAAAATATCATAGAGTAATAACATACATTTGGTGATTCTTTATAATTACATTTATGATCTCTCAAAATGTAATTGTCTTCCCTTATATACCATGGATCACCCGCCATTTCCTTAGCCAATGTGAGACTTTGTTTGCACTCTTTACAAACCCAACATTTCTCAACTCGAAATGCAGATAAAAGATTACAATTAATCAATAGGTAGGTAGTGAATTACTGTCAAACTACTCGAACATAGCTCAATTTATTATGACTTTACTTACCCTATAGGATTGGAGGTTCAAATTTTCTCATTCATGTTGAACTAAAAATAATCATAAATAATCATAATAATAAGTTAAAATAATATAAGTTAATTAATGATTGTAATTACAGGAGCTTACAAGGTATTGACACCTATCTCTAACGAGTTATAAATATGGTAAAATATAATACTATACCCATTAAAATTTTCATCTAAATCCAAAATTCAAGTACTTTCTAAAAGAATATATCTTTTCTCAAAACACTTTTCATATACAAATAGTTTTGTTGGCGGTGAATTCCGGTCGAGGGCCACGCGTCCCTTGGATGAATAGAACGGTCGGGGAACGAGTGAACCTAAAACTAAGTGAACTCGGTGTCCCGCCTAAAACACTCCGACGTCAAGTAAGTCATCGGGAAGAAAATAGGAATAGTGACATGTTTTTCACTTACTAAGAGGGTCAGAGTCCTTCCTTTTATAGTCTCGGGTGGCCGACTAGGAAGGATGACGGTTAGTAGTAGCAGGGTGCAATGTGCAGTGCGGAGAGCATCTGGGAACATGCTTCCGACAACCGCAGGTGCCAACACCACCTACGGCTCTGGGACTCGTCCCCTACAGCTGTAGGGTGCGCCCATTGTACCGACAACGCACGCCCTCTGCTACGGTTACATACGAAGCATAACCATTTGTGGTCCATCGTTCCCTCGTGAGCAGAGCGTGTCCTGCTCGGCAATACCGCCTTGTGGAAGATGGTCGTACATCGTCCTGCACTCGTTGGGAAGCGACCACGTGTCGTGTTCTGGTTTTACCCCAACAAGTTTAATTAAAATACTTGTATATCATATCAGGTCAGATTACATTTTCTTAAAAGTAATTTCAATGATCACAAATTTGTTTGCACTACGAATAAAAGTGATTCTAAAGTGTGATTCCCGTCCATCACTTCTCGACTAAAGTCGATTATTAAGAAAAACAAAAAAATTATTTAAATTTATGCTATCACCAAATGCAACACACTTTGCTTTCTCCTTCCAAAACCACTCATAAAGTTAATCCAAACATCGCGCTGTAAAAAGGGTAAGCAATGGGGATTTAAACCATATCTATTAATCTGAAAAGAAAACAAAAATGGGAGTTTCTATTTTAGGATATGGAGATTTCGAAAGTGGTTATAGGAACAAAAGACAAGAACAGAGCAGTGCATGCCATTGAGAAAAAAAGCTATTTTCTGAGAGGTGGTTATAAATAATTGCATCTATATATATATATATAAATAAATCCTCATCCTCCTCATCGAAATCCGCAGTTAAATTTTCTGAAAGAGGAAAAAAAAAAAAAGAGAGAGAGAGAATTCTTTTGATCTGTGTTTGGGAAGGAAGTTGCAGGTTTCGGGCATTGCACCAATTGGATCCGACAACGTACGGCTTTGTCGGCCCCACCACCCGCCCGCTTGAATGTGACTTCCCTCCTCTCCATCAAACAAACAACTCAACTTTTAATTCGGTAAAAAGTTTTGTTTTCTCGTTGTGGCGTTTTGGTTCTACACATACTTTTGGATTTGTTTCGATCTTGTTTTGTATAATGTATTCGAACTAGAGATGGGTTCAATTGAATCAAAAAGACTTGTTCCAACGTAACGATAGAGACTTATCGGATATCTTTACTTGAATCTTTCACCATTTTTAAAATTTATTGGCCTGGGCTGTCGAGTATTTTTTGAAATAGTTCATCCGATCCATTTGGGATCTAGGATACGGGTCTATATATCGCATTCTTGACAATTCCTCCCTCTCTGATAAAGATCTATATTGTCTCTTGAGTGATGGGTGCAATGGTGGTAAGTGTTTGGGACCTTGAGGTACCTATCTATCTTGAAGTCTCGTGTTCAAGCCTTGTGCTGGTTATTGTGTTACTCAATCTGGACAATAACCTTGGATCCACTAACATAAGCTACAAGACATTGATTATGGAAAATTAAACAAAATAGAAAAACAAAGATCGATATTTAGCCATTGAGTGTGGCCTGGGACATGACTCTTGTTCTAAATGTTTGGTGGATGATATTATAGTCTCTACCTATTTCAGCATTAATATGATGCATATATGTTCTCGGTTTGATTTTGGTTTATCAATATTCGTGGGATCCATCTCAAAACCAATTCGCAATGAGATCAGGAGTATCTCACTTATATTATAATCTTTTCATGGTGGGATCATTAACACATACGACCTTTTGAGATAGTGCCGATCTTTTAGGTTCACCCAGATGCTCATTTAAGTTTTTGGACTTTTATACCATGTCAATATTAGTAAGGTTTCATCTCAAAATCATTAACAATCAGGGTAGTAGCTTACTTATATTATAAATCTTTGTTAACTTTATTTTTCTTATTTTTTGCAGCACGGGATCCTGAACATGGGTTTCAATAAAAAAAAAAAAAGTTTACTACTGAAAAAAATGACACTCTCAATAGATATCTCTAAACTCAACACATACTTGGATGTCATGTTAAATCACTAATAGATTCAAGAGAGCTTAATAAGATGATAGGTTAGAATATATTATGACATATTCATACAATTATTGCTTTGATATGTATGTATGCATATATATGTATATATATGTCTAGTTATTGAATATATATCTCTTGATGTTGCAGGCACATTAGTAAAGCAAGGGCTTTTGAAACTCTGAAACTGGGTTTTAATTAGTTAAAAAGAAAAGAAAAAAAAAGAATATATTTATTATAGTTAAATTTAAAAAATGGGGAGCTGTGTATCAACCCATGCAAAAATAGTGCCGACAACAAGGAAGAAACACCATCGTCGGCACTTCAGAAAGTCGAAGGGCAGAATTGTAAATTCCATAGCCGACAGCGTGAAAAAGCATCACGGCAACGGCGGCGGAGGCGGAGTAACGGACTACGCCGTTAGTGAATTTGTTCATTTGGATTTCGAACACGGCGCCACGACGACATGTCGGCGCTCCGAGGTTTCCAATTCTACTTTCCACCTCACCCAGTTGCAGTGGCAGCACAGCCAGTTCGATGCCAATGGTATAATTAATATATAATAGTAATTAATGATTAACGTAACTATTTATTAACTATAATCTTACTATATCATCGATTTTTTATTTTAGTATATCACTTATTCAACTTATATATTCATTAATCTATATATTAGCTTGATATAAATCATTGATTTTTGGTGGGTGTCAAATTACTAATATAGGCGTAATTATAATTGTTTCTAGAATGGTAAACAACGTTTCTATCCTTATCTAAACTTATATTTCTATGGTTTTTCTTTAGGTAACTTTACAGATTATATTTAATATTTACATAAGGGTGGTCATACTATTACTATTTTTTAGCTGCAATGGTAAATATAGCTGAAATCTAGTATGAATATGACATCATATTTCCAAACTTTTATTTATGTGCTGTATTTTTTTAAATATGGTAAACTATTATTTTTTTTTTTATTCAGTAAAATGAACAACCTTTTTGTGTTGCTGGATGTGTTTACAGGGATTTGCCAAGAGGAGTTGTGGTATGATTCTGTGAGCTTAGTGGATCAGTCTGATTCTGACGATGAGTTCAGTAGTGTACATGGAGGTAAATGAGGTTAACTTTTTGCCCAATTTTTTACTGTGCAAATTGGAAAAACAGGGTAACTAACATCGAATAGTGAACAAAATTGCTAACATGAACATAGCTCGACGGTAATTCTTTTAAAACGTAGGATCCTAATTAATAGAAAACAATTATATCTTATCTTAGTTCGCCTTAAACTTGATATGTTCGAATTCTTTTAAGAATTTATGGCTCCGACTCACAGCAGATCTGGTAGATACAGACGGATTTTCAATAGTGGGGAATGCAATGGAGAACCTACAAAGTGGGCAAGTCCTCCAATTTGAAAGATCAGCAGCCTGTTTTATGGAGAACAGGTGCAAATATGAAGAGTTTTGTGAGAGCTACATGAAAATTGATGGAGGGAAGGCAAAGAAAATGATAGGGAAGGAGAACAACATAGAGGATTCCAGCACCTATGCCATTGTGAGTGCTCCTGGGTATGGCCTCTCTTGCCTTGCAAAGGCTGAAGCAAAGAAGAAACTTTTGGACCATTCCTATGGAAGCTTTAAGGGTCTCAAAGTTGATGCCCATGAGGACAACTCTAGCTTCAGAAAATTGGTGTCTGCTGCAAGTTTCAATGAGAAGATCTTGAACTCCTCTCACCCTTCTCACCCTCCTCATAAGATGCAATCCGCCGTCTATAGGCTCTCCTTCAGGCGGAGATCGTGCGATGGAGGCGAACCAAACGAACATTGTACGTATCCCTTGTTAAAAGCACTTTTCAAAGCTTTCCTACAGTTTGGTTAGGTAGACAAAAGAGATTTTGAAGATTCAACTTTAACTTTGAATATAAACAATGGAAAATATTTGTGGACAATTTAAAAAATTCTCAAATGTGATTTTGGCTTAGAAATGAATGTAGAATTCATTTCCAAGAAAAATGTCTGAATTTTACAAATCCAGGCGAGTCCAAAAAGTACCTATATCGTCCACGAGCTGGGCACATAATTCCACGGTTCAAGGGAGAGAAACCAACTCCTGGCTGTTGGTGTGAAATTCCACCCTCATCCTTTAAACTTCGTGGTCCAAACTATTTCAAGTATGTTATTATATTCTATTACTTAATTACTTTTCTTCCTTTTTTTTTTTAAATCCATTTTCTTCATTAACATGTATTTTCATACAACTGCCACTGCAGAGATAGATTAAAGTCCCCTGCTTCTAACTTCAGTCCATACGTCCCGATCGGTGTCGATTTATTCCTATGTCCCAGAAAGATCAACCACATTGCCCAGCACCTCGAGCTTCCCAACATTGCAGCCAACACGACCGATGTCCCCCCCTTGCTCATCGTAAATATTCAGGTATCTCGTCAACTGAAAAAGTATATATAAAATATTTAAGATTTTAATGCCAAGTATTTTGAATTGCACTTTTTTAATTTCCTTTTCGTGGCAGCTGCCTACTTATCCAGCTGCAATGTTCCTTGGAGATAGTGATGGGGAGGGGATGAGTCTTGTTTTGTATTTCAAAGTTTCGGACAATTTCGACAAGGACATCTCTAGTCATTACAAGGAAAACATCAAGGTAGAACGAGAAATGTGTTTGGTGATCATCTCTAATTGTGCTCAAATTTGATGTTTTTGCACTTATGGTGTAGAAATTTATCGACGACGAGATGGAAAGGACTAAGGGATTTACCAAAGAGTCGGTTTTTCCATTTAGAGAAAGACTAAAGATCATGGCTGGACTTGTTAACCCAGATGACCTCCAGCTAAGTTCCACAGAAAAGAAGCTCGTGAATGCCTACAACGAAAAGCCCGTCCTCTCGCGCCCTCAACATAATTTCTTCCAGGTAAAGTACGGAGCTCTCTTACAATTCGAAACTCATCCGTTTAAAAATTTTTGGGTTGATTGGTGATTTAAAATAGTATCAGAATAGAAGTCCAATGTTCGAACTCTTACAATGTCATTCTCTCCCCATTTAATATTAACAAGTACAAGTGAAACTATACTAACAAGCATTTGACCCATTTGATGCAGGGTTCAAATTACTTCGAGATCGACTTAGATATTCATCGCTTCAGCTACATATCGAGAAAGGGACTCGATTCATTCCGAGACCGTTTAAGGAACGGAGTAATCGATTTGGGATTGACGATCCAGGTAAAGTCGTAGTTACTAGCCAGTACACTACATAATTAATCATGTCACATGATTGTTAATTAATTTGTTGTTATGGATGATGATGATGAACAGGCACAGAAGCCAGAGGAATTGCCAGAACAAGTTCTGTGCTGTTTAAGGTTGAACAAAGTTGATTTTGTGGATCAAGGCCAGCTTCCAACATTAGTTACTCTTGAGGAGGAGGATTGAGATTATAAAAAAAAAAAGAAAAAAGATGAGCTAAATTGACCAAATTGCCATTGGCAGACTCCTCTTCACCTTTGTAAATTAATGGGAAATGGTTGTTTTGGTAAAATCCAAGCTGTTCTTAGATATAATTTCACCACCCCACACCCAACAATAATGGCAACTATTTTTCATTTTTCTTCCTCTTGTATTTCCTTTTTGCTTTTGCTTTCTCTTTTTTTTTTTCATTCTTGGTGTGGTTTGCTAAAATCCGTCTATTTGATTCTTATATTTTCTTTTTGGCGCGTCGTCTATTTTATGTGTGTACTTATTCATCTTTATAACAAAAGATTTGTATGTGATTATCAACTTTACAAATTACATAGTGTAATTTATCATTATTCTTTTAATTTTATTTAAATAGGATTTATTAGATGCCTGTGTTGTCGGAGATTAGGTGTCTTAATCAGTTAAGCCATGTTCAGATTGACACGTTAAAGAGTGGTTTTGCGGCGTGATTCGAAGAATATGAAATCCAAAAATTTGAAATCTATAAAAAAATGTTCGGAGCATAACCTAAAGCTTGGAATCAATGGGAGGAAATGAATTTCAAAAGCTTGAAAGTGTGAAACATAGGCTTGTTATAATAATAATAAATTACATTTAAAGCAATATTTTTATAAATTTACAAAATTTAAAAACAAGCCACAACATCTCAAATATTGTATTTTTTAAGTTCATAAATTGTGTGGGTGAGGATCGAACATCAACGTTTAGAATCATATAATAAGTATCTTATTCACTAAGGTTAAGTATTACACTTTAAAAATTACATAATACGTGTTGTGTTGCAATTTTATCTTAAACTTAACAAGATGTATCAACTTTTATCTCAAACTTTTAATTTTATCAAATTACACCTTCAACTTTGATGAGTATTGTGCTGCAATTTTATCTTTTGAGTGGTTTTCCATTCGGAGAATCTTTGAAAAATGTGTTGTTCTCACGTGTTTTCAATGAATTATAAAACATATATATTTTGTATGAAATTAAAATGACGTTAGAGTTAGTTTTTTTTTTCTTAAATTGGTAGGTTTTGAACTTTGATTAAATTATTTAAGGATTGATTTTGTGCTTAAAGCTAAGATTTTCATAATATTGGTGAATTTTTTTAACTTTTATATCTTTTTTTTTTTGTTAAAATTAGTGGATGAATAAAGGGTAAAAATTGTAGCATTCAAAAAGTCCAATATAATGAAATTTGAAAGTTTGTGAGAATTGATAATCCAACCCACCAAAATTTGATATTTTTTTCCCAAACATAAACAAGCCTAAAAGGCTAAAATCGCACAAACAAAACAAATTCAGAAGTTTCTACATTTCAAACCAAAGCTAATAAAATTTCAAAGAATTTAGCCACATGCATTAATTATTCTTCACTCACTCAAAGCTTAAATTAATCACCCAATAAAAAAAGGCTACGAAAAGTAAAAGGGAGCGGTAAATGTAGGAAGCTGTGGGGCTGGCCCCACTTTTGGCCGGCGCCGGCGCCGGCGCCGGAGCTGTCCTCTCCGATACAGAGACCGCGAGTTTCATTCCCTGAAAGCAGTAGCCGCCACTGGAGAGGAAGAAATAGGGCCGTGCCTCTGTCAACTGAAACACATCTCGTCCTCCTCTAGTAATGTTGGTTATGAAGTCTTTATCATTGCAACTCTCGTAGTTCGTTCTGTTCACTTCTAAAACGTTGTAGTAGCGTTTGTCGAACGCAAAATCTTTAGAGATGACAGAAGTAATCAGATTAATTCTTTACCGTTTATCATGGTTTGAATATTTAAAATGGGTTGATGATAATGTATTATAACTTTAAAAAGATCAAATATAAATTCTTTTAGTCGTATTGAACTACTATCACATCCCATTTTGAGATTGATTGTTTGATTGAGTTTGAGTTTTGGGTGTTTTTTTATTTAAACTTTTATTTTATTAAACAAAATAAAACTTTGATTTAAAAGTTGACTAGTAAATTAAGTATAACGATAAGTAAAGAGCTTTCTTAAACCAAAAGGCCAAAAAAACAGTGAAAAGATTGATCCATTTCTTAATTTCTAATTTCTTTCTATATTGTTTCTTTTAACTATTGTGGATAATATATACCTTTCGTACTCTTTTAAAAAGAAGTTAATTTTTCAATTTAATAAGCAAAATACATGTGAGTTTCAGACTAATGATGATTTGTTTTTGGACTTATATGCATGGCAATAATAATACTTGGGAAAAAACAAAATAAAGTCAAAAATACTTTGTACTGTTGAATTTGTTCGTGTGCAAATTCAACCTTTTCCTTACCACCTTTAAATATTTGACAACTAATATAAATAAATAAAAAATATTTTTTTATTAAAAGTGGCGAGTTAAATATTTAATGGTAGTATAAAGACAAGATTCCTTCAAAGAACCAATTATTTTCCATTTGTACTCAACTCTTAAATCGTAGTATATAACAATTTGATCCGTGATAGATTTAATCCCTAAATTAGGGTATTTAAAGATTTAGTTCTGATCGCTTAATATACGCAGCCATTTATTTTTTACTGTGAAATTTTTCATCAAAGTGAATTATCAATTTTTAGTGTAACAATTTTTTTTTTTTTTTGAATATTGTGTAACGATGTAAACTTTATAATTTATAATTAAAGACATTTGGTTACTGACCAATTTATTGATCTACATGTAAGAAACTTCACTACGGCTTGACAATATTTTATTTTAAATAACAAAAACGAAATTCTTATCTATTTAAAAGTTCAAGTTTAAGTCATTACATTACAGTGTTTAAATCTTTCTATATTAAAGTTAAATGACTAAATTGTTCCTCTACCTATTTTTTTTCTCTTTCCCCTTGAATCATAGTTCTTTAATACTTATACTTCAAAATTTTATTACAATTTAATCCTTAGTTTCTTTGTTTGAGTATAAAATTTATTCTATTAATATTAACAGAAAATTTTAAGTCACGGGGATAAAATTTACACCTGTGAGTTTCTTTTTTTTTCTCTTTCTTTTGAACTAATTTACACCTGAGTTAAAAGTAATGGAGAATTATTTATGCATCCTTAATTTTTGTTTACTTATAATCTTATTGGGTTAGATAATAGAGTTTGTTATTTCATCCCTCCTCTATTTCTCTCGAAGTTGAGAAAAATGTAGAAAGAGTTGGGATAATGAGATTAAAGGCCAGCGACCATAGCTCAGCGGTAATTGACATATATCTCCAACCAAAAGGTTCTAAGTTTGATCCCCCAACCCACATGTTGTACTTAAAAAATGAAGGAGAAGAAGTAACTACAAAAGTTATGTTACCATAATAACAATATCATAATTACATTTAAAGCAATAATATTTTTTTCTCAGGTAAAAAAAAAAAAGAAAAGAGGTATCATTTTTAAATTTAATTACAAAACAAAGCGTTGGAATATTTAAAAGATGCAATTACATAGATAGCAAAATAAAAAAATGTGTTTCTAAATGTAGTAGGAACTTTAAAATTTTACCTAAACAACATAATTTGATTTAAATTCAAATAAAAAAAAGATTATCACATAAAAATAAACAAATTCAAAATTTTATGAGCTCTTTTTTAAAAAGAAAAATTAAAGTAGACATTTTTTTAAATAAATATAATATATTTTTGCGATTTAAAAGCACACATTACTAATGCATATTAAACGTTAAAATTATAAAGTATTTCATCATCCAAAATACATGTATTATTTGAAGATTGTGGATCTCTATATATACTATTAAGTTTTTGTTTATTTTTGTTTTTTTACCCTCAAAAGGTATATATGTGGTCCTTCTACCTTCATATTTTATCCATTTTAGTCTATATAATTTTGAAATATCTATTTTTATCTCTATACCATATAAAAAAAATATCATTTTAGTCATTTATTAGGACGATACTATGTTTAATAAATTCCCTAAAATGTAGCTGTAGATTTATATTAAAAGCTTCTCAAATTTTCGAACAGCAACCAAAATGTTCATTTGTTAAAAGTACATAGACTAAAACTTTGAAGTAGAAGACTAAAATTTAACAAAAATTTAAAAATACAAACACTAAAACGAATCAAAATTAAAAGTAGAAGAATCGAAATATTATATATATTAATTGTCAACCATATTATTCCAAACACGATCTTGTTATATATGGTAGTTGCCCATTAATATTATCGTTGAGAAAATGGTAGGAATAAGACCCTGAGAACAATATTTAAGTGGTGATATCTTCCTATACCGACTACCGTTGGAAAATTGACCGTTCATTATTAGAAATTTCATGCTTTCCATCTCTTATCTCTTAATAAATAGTTTAATGATCATCAGCAATTGGACAAAAAAAAAAAAAAGAAAGAGGACAGAGAAGAAAGGACTTACACAGCCAATCAGCAACATAAAATTGTTGGGAGAGTGACCAATTGGTGTAGTTAAAATTGGGGTTCCATCCTTGAGAATTCCCCACCTTATGAAGCTTCTCTCCCACAGCTCCCACTGTTAGCAGTAGTAATAACATCATTACCACCACCCAAATTCTACTCCCTCCTCCCAATTCCATTTTCTTTTCTTTTCTTTTCTTTTCTTTTCTTTCTTGCCAAACAAACAATAAAACAGTAGAGATTTTCTTGCGTTGTGTGTTGGGGCAGCAGAAACGAGGGCGAGGTGGTATTTAAAAGCAGCGGCGGGGCGCGGGCCTAATATGGGAATTAATTCCAATTAATTTTATTTACATATCCGTTTTCTTCTTGCTAAAGCGCAGTCAACGTGAACCCAGGATTCGGCTTTATTCAAAGCCCTTCGCTGTCCACTGGACACCGGGCCCACACCCTTGTATTCTACACTAATCATTTTCTTTTTCCTTTTCAAAATAAATCATGATAAATCTTCTATCCACGTGACGTTAATTCAAACTCATAACGTCTTGACTGTAGATATGTGTCCGTTACAATAGTTAAAAAAAACTTTTTTTTCTTTTTAATGTCTTGGTTGAGAATATATATTTTAACTATTTCATTTTTTAGCTACTCCAACGGTGAATACTCATTTTTTAGTCGTGACAAATTTGAAAGTGACAAATTTGAAAATTCTTTAGTTTTAAAGAATAATTAAAGAAATTTCCAAAATCTACCGGCGTATTTGATTGATCTCGTGCGATACGATGACTTTCTCTTCGAGAGACTCCACCAAGAAATTATTTCTCTCACGTAATTTTGTCCTAATTCTCTGAGCATAATAGAGCTTACTTCCGACACCTGACTTTTTCCGACATGGAAATGATGCCGCTAGATGTCATGGTTTTGGGGCCTTCTTGTTCATCGATTGGAAATCAAGACAAATCGGGTACTAGAAACTTTATTTGAGAATAAAAAAGAATGAATATGAAATGCGGAATCATATTTCATATATCCTATTTTCTGCATTTTTTTTATATTTGTCAAAATTTTAGTGGTGATGAGTAAGTAGTTAGTATTACTTTAATTGTTTGAACTAATCATTAGTTGAATTTAAAAAATTCATGAAATCATTTTATATTTTGTGAATTTAAATTCGAGAACTAGATTTGAAAGGAAAATAATTAAATTTGGAATGAAAATTATTGAATTTCTTTTTTGAATGTTCATCAAACGAGAATAAATAATTTACTACTGTTGAGCTCTTAGTAGTAGCAAGAATGACGTAATTTAAAAAAAAAAGTTTATATATTAAGGATCAAATTTGAGAATTTTAAAAAGTTAAAAACTAAATTGATAAGGACGATTTTGTATATTTAGCTTAAATTTTTATTATAAACTAATAAATGTTGCAGTCGCATTTAGTTTAATTTTTTAATTTAATTTCAAACGCCTGTCCATCATTATTTTCTCCGTATTCCGATTTTTTATTGATATTAAAAATGTAATTTGTTGCAATGTTACCTTAATTTATTAAGGTAAAATTTTCAACATTATTTAATTCTATATTCAATTTGCATACACTTTTAAAAATTATTATACATGGCCAAGTTAGGAATAGAAATTGATTTTTTTTTTTCCAAATTTTTATTATGGTGTCGTGCACTATGATTATTTATATTGAATTTTTCTTAATATTCTAATTCAAACATGATAGATATATTCAAAATTACAATCCCTAACGACGATTATGTCCCATTCATATCATGCATAATTGAATATAGAGGGAAAATAATCTTAAACTATGGAAGAGTTAATTTTGTCTAATTGATTTTTTTTAGTTCAAATAAAGGTTGAGATTTAAACTTCATCCAAAAAAGACTTTCTAAAATCATTACCAATTGAGCTAGACTATGGTGAATTTAATATACCTTCTTATTTAAACAAATATTTATTTTAAAACATTTTTTATAAAAATAGCTTAATTGAAATATTGGTGTGTTTTGATTAACGTGACTATGACCAATATTCTAAAGTTATTTTCAATTACCAATTTGGGTTTAGTTCAGCTGTAATTTGTATCTGTCTTTAACGAAAAGATCATGGGTTTGAATCCTACTTTCAATAAATCTTAAAATTAATCATTTTAGTTCTTTAATTTTATTTTTAAACATTTTTTCTATCACAATTTCATCATGACATTATACTCAATATATTTCTTAAATATAACCATGACTTTATATTAAATGGTTTCCATTATGTGTAGAATTTGTGTTGAAATTTTGAAAATAAAGACCAAGATGGTCACTTTTTAAAAGTACAAAGATTTTGAAATATTTAATTATAATTTTGAAAACAAAAGTATACTTTAATTATAAAAAATAAAAAAAATTAATATACCATGCGGTGTTTTCCTTTGTTCTTTTCTTCTCAGAGCTTCTAATCCAAGGCTGTCTTCTTACACACAACAACTTACTTTGGTCTTTCTTTTTCGAACTCTCAACACTCAATTTGGATCTTTAGTTTATTAAAAAAAAAAAAAACTTTAAATTATCTTTAAAGAAAAGAGAAAAAAAAAAGAATTTGACACGTGGGTTTCATGTGACACACGTTTTTTTAATGTATGAATATTCAGACCAGCTTGTACACTCTTCAATATTTTGGTCCGTAAACTTAAAAAAGAAAAAGATACTATTTTGATTTTTTATGTTACTCTACTCGTAGGTTTTCACTTACTCAACATCTCACTTTAATACTAACATGAGCTTAACTCACCAGTAATTGGCATATATATATCTCTAAACAATAGGTAATGAGCTCAAATTCCCTACTCCCACTTTTTGTACTTAAAAAAAGTACCCTGCTTGAATAAGCTTACATACCTTTAATACCTGCCACATAAGCAAGTTAATATATTTATTGTTAAAATATTATTTTTGTCTTGTACTTTTGGTTCATTTTAGTTGCTTTACTTTTAAGATGTTCATTTTGATTCATATACTTTTAACTTTTGTTCATTTTAGTTGTTCCTGCACTTTCAAAGTGTTTGTCTTTGCCCATTTACTTTTAGAAAGTGACCATTTTGGTTTCTTCATTTTATTTTTAATCTTTTTTTTCTTATTACATAATTTCAACATGATACTACAATCAATATATTTTTTGAAATGTAACCATAACTTTATATTAAAGAGTTTTGGTTGTGTGTAGAATTTGTGTCAAATTTTTGAAAATAGGGAACAAAATGGATACTTTTTAAAACTATAAAGACCAAAACAAACATTTTGAAAATACAATGACTAAAATGAACAAAAGTTTAAAATACAGAGACTAAAATAAATATTTTGAAAATAGAGGGACCAAAATGAACCAAAACTAAAAGTAGAAGGACCAAATTAGTATTTTAACTTATAGACATCTTAAGTGAGGATTCGAACTCATGATTTTTGGTCAAAGATAGGTGCCTTAACCACTTGATTAATTAATTAATATATATGTTATCATTTTGTAAAATAATTATTTTCCTATATTATATAATTTTTAATATATTATATTTTACATTTTTAATTTTAACAAAAATAAAATGAACTTATAACATAAAATAGTATTGTTGGAGGTTGATTTAAGCATACACGTGGCAAGCATTAAGTGGATACACAATCTCGCACGCAAAGCAGTTTGTCAAAAGGTGCGAAGAGTGCCAGCGCTTCGTGACCATCTCGCACCAACCCCCGGAGTACCTCACACCCATTTCCAGCCTTGACCATTCGCTCAGTGGGGCCTCGACTTGATCGGGGTGCTTCCCACTGGGAAAGGTCAGGTAACCCACGCCATTGTGGCAACAGACTATTTTACAAAATGGGTTGAAGCTGAGCCATTGGCGAAGATCACCGAGTAGAACGTCACTAACTTCGTCTGGAAGAACATCGTCTGTCGGTTCGACATCCCTTACTCCCTAATAACGGACAACGGGAGGTAGTTCGACAACGCGAGGTTTAATAAGTTCTGCAAAGAATTGGGCATCAAGCACTTCAGCTCGTCTCCAGCCCACCCTCAAGCCAACGGTCAGGTTAAGGCTATCAACAAGATTATCAAGCGCGGCCTGAAGACTAAGCTAGAGGCTTTGAAGGGCCGCTGGGTCGAGGACCTTCTCGAGGTACTCTGGTCGTACCGAACCATGGCCCAGGGGTCAACGGGCGAAACCCCTTTTAGCCTTGCGTTCGGCTCAGAAGCAGTCGTGCCAGTGGAGGTGGTCTATCAACCTTCAGAGTGGAGCATTTTGATCAGCAAGCTAACGACGATGCGCTCTTGCTCAACCTCGATCTCCTTGAGGAGAGGCGCACTCAGTCATAGCTTCGCCAAGCCGCGTATCAAAACCGCATGGCGCAATATTACAACGCAAGGGTGAAGCCTCGAGTGTTCAAACCAAGAGATCTGGTCCTGAAAAAAGTATTGACTCACGTTGGCGCAGTCGAGCCGAACTGGGAAGACCCCTACAAAGTACGCGAAGTAGTTCGGCCTGGAACGTACGTCATTGCCGACCTAATGGCAACAGGCTACCTCACCCTTGGAATGCTGACCATTTACGTGCTTATTATCAATAATGTAAGACAATCTTGGTGTAAGTTGTATACATTCCTAATAAACGCGACTATTGAATCTAAGTCCACCTCATATGACCGAGCTAAACTTAAATGGGGCCGAGGCATGGTTTCAGAGCTGTAAGTGAGGCAGATTCACTATCAGCTTGGACCAAGTCCACCTCTCAAGAGGCATGGTATCAGAGCTATAAGTAAAACATCCACTGCTCAGTTCGGGCTAGAGATGGGTCAGCGTTACTAAAAAATATATATATAGAAAACATATGAACTTAGTGGTGCAGGAAAATAGTTCCATTAGAATAAGCAAGAGCCACCCAAGTATATAAGCTCAGGTGGCGTACAAGATTCGTTGGCCGAGGCACACACTCCTTGGCTCCAAAAAATTTTGGGTAGAAGAAAAACAAAATGAAAGCTTCCTAAAAAGAAAAGTTGTTTCAGGCTCCAACAGTCGCCCTCTCAACTCCTCAACGGGTCCATCAGTTGGGGCTTCTTCTCCTTCTTCTTCCTTCTCGTCTAGCAAGGCCTCGTAAACCTTGTAGATGGAGGTCAAGTCAAGCTCAGGAGCCAGCTTCCTCACCCTGTCGGTCGCGAAGTCAAAGCCTGTATTGGCAATAGTCCTCACCAGTTCCACGAACTCTGG